CTGAGCCGGCCGGGATGTGCCAGGCGCCGGCAATGATGCCCATGAGTTGAGCAGTGGATGCCTTGAGGTCGGCCAAGGAAGATTGAACTTGAGTAGACATTTGGATTGAGTTGAGAGATGTGAGAATGTTGAAAGCAGGGTGAAATCTGTTATCACTAGAATGAAGTTTCAAAGAAACAATACAATTGAAGGATGGTGTTGAAAATTGTTCATTGTTTGTTTGTGTTTGGTCATGGTTCAACTTTCGGCAATCGCCAGCCATCTGTTGAACTTCGACGTTATCAGTTATCAATCAGTTCATCAGTTCATCAGCTCATCAGATATCATGAGTTCTCAACCTGGGGTCAGATTTCATGACCCTCCAGTCACTGAATTCACTTCAATGGATGTGGATGAGTCCTCCCAGTCCCGGATGTCCCTTGGTATGTTTTTTTTTTCTGATTTCAGTCAATTGATCTGACATGGTTTAGATCCATTAGATGATATATACCTTGGGCCGGATGATGAGTTAGACTCTGATTCTGGGTTGTCCGGTGGTTTGGATGTGTTGAATGTGATTCCTGGTATGGTTTCCAATTCAAATGGACATATTCCGCATGTGCAAATTCATGACATACTTCCAGATCCATCATCTCCGGCTCTGGCAGATGGACTGGCCCTGTATGATGACCTGGACTTGTATCTTGGTCTGGAGGATACCTTGATTTCGTCCGATCCGGATGTACCCGATTTTCCTATGGCTGGTGAGGTCATTCTTTCTATTTCATGTTCACCTTTCATGGCATTTCCCCAGTGAATGAATCAACTCTGGAGCCTCATCCGGCCACTTCGGTTGTACCAGAGGCACCCATACCTTGTAGGTATAGTCATATCATTTCATGTTCTTTACTCATGCTATCTCCCAAGCTATTTCAGGAACTGCTGAATGTCAATCACCCGAGCCGGAACTCAACAATGAAGCACTGCGTGCCATGGTTCAGGAGTTCATGCCAATCGGATCTTATGATCAAGCTGAAGGTAAGTATGCAACATTTGATTATTTATCTCTGCTAATATCCTGCAAGTTCAATCAATTGTAGATTGCCTGGGTGATTACCAACAGCGTCATGAAGATCTTCCTGCCCCTACAGTAGCACAAATTCTTGAGGCTGACAGACCATTCAGGATGGCATGGGCTGAAACATGCGACAAGCTGTGGAAAGCAGATGCTGACCTCCGGAGGATGCAAAGGGTAAGGAGTCAACGTCCGAAATGCTGAATGTATTAGATACCATCATTGAGGCCTTTGAGGACTCAAGTAACATGTAAATATTGATCAATGTCTGATAGTAGACACATTGCAGTATACTTTACCTGCTAAGTACTTAATACTTGCTACTTGTATACTGTACCTACTCAGTAGGTAGTCCTTGGTACTTGTATACTCTACCTACCCAGTACTCGCTGCCCGGTTTTCGGTGCTCGGTACTCGGTGCTCAGTACTTGGTGCTCGGTACTTGGTACTCGGAGTTCAGTGCTCGGTGCTTGGTACTTGGTGTTCGGTACTCGGTGCTCGGTGCTCGGTACTCGGTGTTCGGTACTCAGTGCTCAGTACTCGGGCCTTGGTACTCGGTGCCTGGTGTTCGGGGTTCGGTACTTGGGGTTCAGTACTTCTGTGCCGGCGGCGTGATACTCTCTTCCATTTCAACATCATCTCTAACCTCGCCTGTCGCATCTTCAGTTAACCCAGCAAGGAGGTCTCCCATTCGTGATGTCAGTAATGCACCTTTTTTGGCCGGCTTGGCTGGGTGAGGCTTTGGAATTGCATGTGGGACTGCCGGCCCTCTGGGTGTAGGACCTCCCGTCCTGTGTTTCTTCAGCGGAGGTCTCCCATCAGCCAGGTCATCATCCACATCATGCTCCATATGATGAGTAGCACTCTTCTTATCACTCTCGGCTTCTGTCAATGAGTCCCGAGGCCTTCGGATGGTAACCCTCGGCTGCCTTCTCACTATACGAGTCTGAGGAGAGGGCGAGTTGCCAGATATGACAGATGGTATCATGTCCCCATCTTTGTTCTTCCATGCTTTGAACAGAAATGTGGGACCTTCGCCTGTTTCCTGCTGTGCACGCCAGAAATGGAGCAAGGTAGTGGTATCCCAAATTTGCAGCTTCGAAGGTTCCTTCAAGTCAACATCTGCCGGAAGATATGTCTGGGCCACAAAGTCATCCTGACTTTGTACAATGGCACTCCATGGCACAACCACCTTGTCCTTCCATGCATTGAACAATTTGTCAGGTGATGTGATGACAAACTCACGATAATGCAATGTAAGAAAGGCCCTCACTATGGTCTTCTTCTCCTCAAGTTTAGTGTCGGTGATCTCCGGAAGGAGTGGCATACCCTCCCCGTCCATTTCGAGTTCAAAGGCTGGTTTTTGAATTCGTTTTCGACCTCCCTTGACCTGATGTCCTCCATCCCATGCCCCGGCGCCTATCATCGTGATGCTCAACATGTTCAATCTGGTATACATGATTCAAACACTCACCGAACTGTTCCTGCATGTACTCCTGCCACACTGGCTCAATGTCCTCCCAGTCCTTCGTCTTCATGAAGCTGTCCCCATCTCCTAAGGCCTCGTTATCATCATGCCTGCATGAATATTTTGAGCCGAAAGATCTCTGTCGATGGATAAATGTACTCACATCCCAAACAGCACCTCGCCCTTTTTATTCTTCCAAGCCGACATCACAAACACTCTCATCCCACATTGCCTCCACATCTCATTCGAAAAGTGCTCCATATATGCCGGACCCTTCTTACGAGCCACTTGTGCTTGTATCTCCAGAGGCGGACAGTTGTTGGACCACTCTTCGGCTGTTTCTTTCGCCCTCTCCAACTCGTCGTCGTCCAATTCAGCCATGACTCTCTTCACTGCTGCCTGATAATGTTTGAACATACCAGGATCTCCTGGCTTTACCCCGGACTCATCCTCAATCCTCTTCAGCACCTCTTGGCATTTCTGCTGGTAGACCATCATCCTGGGAGTCCATTTCCTCCCATACTTGATCATGTCCTTCCTTTCCTTCTTTTTCTTGTTGTTGAACAACCAAGTCTTGTACACCTAAGAGTTGATGAAAGAATGTGATGTTGAAAATTTAGTTTTTCCACACAACAAAGAAGCCTCACCTGCTTCCTCTTTTTCCATTGTTTTTGGTCCAACTTAGGAGCAAACAACCTGGCCGCCCTTGCTATGGCAGTGAAAATCACTCACTTCTCACTCCTTTTGGCAGCAGTCCACTCAGGAAGGTAGTTCTTCAACTCCAAAATCTCCTTGTCCATGAGCTTCTGAGACTGTGGTTGACGTATCCTGTGTCTTCCAGAAGTCGTGTTGGTGGAATGACCTGTTCTTGCCATAGTGAATCAGAATGCAGAAATGGCTAAGGATTTGCAAGATGGAAGTATTAATGAATTGTGCAAAGTTGAACTTTGAGCAAAGCCTAATGATAGGTTAATCGGCCCATATTGGACCTGAAGCCATTAATGGAAATGAATTTGTAATGCGCCAACAGGACTGCACCGCATCATATTGCAATAACAATTCATTACACCTGAGCTGATGCCTTGCTTGCAACATTAATAAACAAGATGAAGATAGGTAGATGCACCCCAGTGCAAAAATCTCACAGGGTGGAAGCAAGGGGCAGCAAAGGTAGGAAGACTTGGGTCAAGGTCCCACTTGCAAGCACGAGGTGACATGCCTACAGGTCCATGCCTAACTCTCCCCTGGAATCACCAACAATTCAGCCTGTTGAGGCACCACCTCCTTGGGAAGACTTTCCTGACAATACTTATGAGCAGGACCAAGGCTCATTTGAGCCTTTGCAACTCCCAAAAACCATGGCAAGTTCATGTACAATGTTGGAGTGTCATTCAAACTATGGCTAAGCATTCAAAATACAGAGTCAAAATGACTACCTCAGGCAATGGCTGCCAAGGCAGGAATCATATCTACATCACCTCCTTGATCAAGAAGCTCCACCCGAAGACAGGAGATGCATCATCTGCCAACAGGATGGGGTGTACAAATGTCAAGATTGTCTTGGCGAGCCACTTTATTGCACGGGCTGTTACAGGAGTCAACATTGTAGCAATCCTTTCCACTGGATCAGTCAATGGAATGAGCGATTCTTCGAGCGGAGTTGTCTAGCTCATGTGGGACTCATTATATACCTTGGCCATGATGGCAAACAATGTCCGGTGGTCACCGATCAGTGGAATTTGTTTGAAGAAGATGAACCCGAAGACCTGCTCAAGCCTGAAGATCTGCCATTTGTGTCCGGACCCAAGTTCCAGCCAAAGGAAAACACCATGGTCATCATCGACAAGTCCGGAGTTCATCGCCTGGAGGTTTGATGCTGTGAATGTCTGAATGCCATGAGTCCAGACATTCAAATGTTTCGACATGGATTTTTCCCTGCATCTTTTAACAGGCCAAAGACTGTGTTCACCTTCAGAGTGCTCAATGATTTTCTACTGGACAGCCTTGAATGCGGCACCTCGGCAATGAACTATTACAGCAAGCTCCGGCGAATGACCTCCAGCATGTTTCCACACCTTGTTCCAGTAATGCCTTACCCTCATGATCTACTGGACATCATATTGACAAAGCACATTGCAAGGACCGATACAGAGAGCTCATGAGGGTCGCTCGACAGTGGAGGCAGTTGAAGACAATGAAATGGCATGGCTTCGGCCATCGTTCTGATAACCCAAGCACAGGAGAACTTGCATTATTTTGCCCGGCATGTCCTCAGCCTGGGATTAATGTGCTGTTGTCAGAGGATGAATCTCTTGATGAGTGAGTCCTATTCTGAACCTATGTGGCCTCCATAATAATACTAGGGATCCAAGCTGGAAATACACCCGGTCATTTGTGATGGACGGAAATTTCAAAGCCGAACATCTGCATCCCATTAAGCCATTCAATGAAGTTTGGCTGTCCGATGGGCTTGGATTCATGGTAGGAAAGGACAGGTATAAAATGCATCTGGCAGAGGCTGCTGACACAGTGGAAAAATCAAGCTGCAACAATCACTGGGCAGTAAATCAAGCTAATGCTGCTCGGCACAAGCTGGAGTCCACCGGTATCGGGGGAGTTGCCTGTGCCAGACACAGTTGCTTTGTCCCTCACTCCATGGTGGATTTTCAGAAAGGCGAAAGGCAAGCCACATCCACCATTCCCCATTCACAAGTTAACCATGGGTCACTTGCAGACAAATGAACATGGACTATGCCCTTTGCGAGGCTTCCCAGCACAACATGGAAGGCATCACCAGGGCTGTCACCTTCTATGATATTAATTGTCAATACAACAAACACTTTCGGGTTCGGGTGGATTGAAGTCGATTTCTAGAAATGGCACCACAACTAACCATCATTCCCGGAATTGGGTTATGGCACGTTCATGGCCATCAGGACAGCTGCTATGTCCGATATGCTTCTAACTTTATTGAAGGCATTGGTCGGATCGATGGAGAGATCATGGAGACGCTATGGGCACGGCTCAATTTGATCTCCCCTGCTGCTCGGGGAATGTCATCTCCCCACCGAAAGGAATGCCTTGATTATCAGATGAATGACTCCAATTTCTGCAAGATGATTCGCATGAAAAGGACTCTATGCCGGAAATACAAACTGGCTAGGGAAAGTGGAAAGGCATTCGACAGACTTGATGAAGCAGCACCCTTACATTTGAAGACAGAATGGTTAGCCAGGGAGAGGATAGCTCAGTCAAGCAGATTGAATGATCCTTCAGCCATGGATGAATATGAGATCAATATCAAAAAGGGTACGTTGAGTTCCATTGTCTCCGTCGAGGTCTGAATTAATATTGCACTCAGCACCTAGCAAAAAGGAGATCAAGCTTAGATTGTTAGAGGAGGGTAACGCCCGCAATGCAGCACCCTCTCGCAGATCTGTGGCGACATGGATATCGACAGGGTTAGCAATTGAAGAGGCTCAGATTGCATTGCTCATCGAGGTCCGAAGGATTGGAAGAAGATCCACCGAGACACAGAGATTAGACATCGCCCATCAAAGAGATCGGCTCCAAGGCCAGATAGATGGATTTGCTCGGTCTGCTCTAACACATCTCGGGGAGGGATTTGATGCAGATGATGAACCTGAAGACTTGGACGTAGACATTCTAGATGATCTCGATGATGACCCGGCAGATTTCACAGAGACATCTCACACATGGACAAACTCTCCCGAGCTAACTGTAATCCCATTGCCATCAAACCTGGGGGTTGATAGATGCAGACAATGCATGGCAGAGGATCTGATTCCCCTGGAGATGATGCTTTGTGAAGGGCAGGCCAATGATGCCCTTTACAATCTCCGCATTTACCTTTGCAACAAGACCATCCTGTTCCGAACAACCATTAGGCAGGCCAAATCCCAGGCCCTGAAAACTCGAGCTTGGTCCCAGGTGACATCAGTGCAGCAGGCAGTCTCCCTCCATGCCAGCATATATACAAAGACAAGGAAGCAAATGATGAAACTTGAGCTGGGGCAAGACCAGCTTCAGAAATACAAACCCCTGCTTTGCAAGCAACTCAAAATCAGCACTGCAGTGGGAGACCCAAATGCCCGAGGTCAACGAAATGAATCTTTGGCTTGGTTTTGGTCTGTTGAAGTCGACCTCGGGGGCCCTGATCAATCGTGGAATGAAGAATGTGAGTTCCCGCTTGCATGTCATATCCCACGGTTACCTGACTGGACCCATGCCAAGTTTACCGAGTCCATTGGCTGAGGGCAAAGGCACTACAGGATCGATGGAGGGAAGAAATGCTATTGGTCACATTGGAGATGGATTGGACATGTAAGTTCTTTTTGTGGAAAACAACCATATGGGGCGAGCACATGCAGGAATCATTGGAGAAACGACTTCCGGGTCACGGATGCTATGCCGGAAGGCACTCCCACATGTATTCATTGCTGGCACAGGATGCGCAAGCAGCTATTCAAGACCTACAAAATGTGTTGATAGAGGCTGGAGATGAATGAACATTGTTTTCTCATGAAGTCCCTTTTTCCACATACATAATTGACGCCCGGGAATTGTCCGGGTCAGCCCATGTCGGAGTTTGAATTTCGTATCCATCCATCAGTGATTCTTATCTTCACATCTTGACCATCTTTCACTTGTATTGCCAGCGCCATAGTCCTGTATTAGCCATGTCTGCATCTCATGCATCCACTTCTGGCACTCTGAATCCCGGAAGCCATTACCGACCTCTAAAGCTGAGCCTTGCAACTATTTCCTGCACATTGGCAATGGCTGGATCGCGTGTCTGTGCAATCATCTCTCAATATCGGACGGAAGCTGCCAACAATGGTCTATCTGCTGACCGGATCAAGTATTTTAAAGCCAGGCTGCAATGGGAGATGAATGTATGTTACCACTGCCCTGATGACTTTGTTGGTCAATGCTAAGAATTTGAGCAGACATTTGTCACACCACTCCTGCAGTACTCCACTTCACAGAATATCGTGTTGGTTCTTCCGGTCCCTGTCGCTTATATCCTTAAGTTGTATCCCATGCTGACCTGGAACACGGTTCCGGACGACGTCTTTTCATTCCACCTCCTTTCATTTCATGATGAGCCAATTGCAGGACATCCGTCCCGGATTGTGTTCGCATATACATGTCCATGGTGGATGGGAAACACCACAATCCCTGATCAACCATGGCAGTGGGATGAAATAATGGCTTCCTGCGTCTCTCACTACCAGTATTGGGCGGTAAGATGTCAGCTGAATTACCTTGATTGATGACTTATCTGTTTCAGCTTAATGTTGAGGATGATGCTTTGGTACTTCCAGAGAAGTTGAAAAACACTTCGACTCCACCACTCATGGGACTGAGATTCATCAAAGAACGCATGGAAGCATTGCTGGAGGAGCAAGATCAGGGCATCGAAGCTAAGATGGGAGAGGTGAAGATGTACACTGACATGTTAGAGAAATTGAGGAAAGGCAAAGGAGTGTAGTCCTATTCACTCTTCATTGTATACAAGATGTAACATATTCTATGCATTCAAAAATCTCACACTCGAGTCCCGGACGCCCAGGTCCCAAGTCCCGAATTTCAGAGGTCGGGGCTCGGAGACCCGGAGCTCGGCAACTGTGTTGGGTGTCAGGGTATCCAGACCATTGGAGATAGCATGTGTCAGTATTTTGCGTTTCATGGTTTATGTTGGGTGAATATGGAATCGGGGATCAGGGACTCGGTATTCAGAACAGTGTCAAGTCTCAGGTCACGAGCTCCGAGTCCCGAGTCCCGAATTTCGGAGGTCAGGGTTCGGCGACCTGGAGCTCGGCAACTGCTGGGTGTGGGTTTTGGGACTCGGGACTCGGAGCTCATGACCTGGGACTCAACACTGTTCTGAATACCGAGTCCCTGACACCTGATTCCATAATCACGAAACATAAACCATGAAACTTAAAATACTGACAAATGCTATCTCCAATGCTCCGAGTACCCTGACACCCAACACAGTTGCCGACCTCCGGGTCGCCAAACCCCGACCTCCGAAATTCGGGACTCGGGACTCGGGGTTCGGCACTCGGGACTCGGAGCTTGTGACCTGGGACTTGACACTGTTCTGAATACCGAGTCCCTGATCCCCGATTCCATATTCACCCAACATAAACCATGAAACGCAAAATACTGACACATGCTATCTCCAATGGTCTGGATACCCTGACACCCAACACAGTTGCCGAGCTCCGGGTCTCCGAACCCCGACCTCCGAAATTCGGGACTCGGGACCTGGGTGTCCGGAACTCGGTATTCAGAACAGTGTCGAGTCTGGAGTCCACAATGTCGGGGTTCAGGGTTTTGTTAAATGTGTATGGCAATAACAAATGTTAATTCGAGCGTATTTATACATCTTCCCCCAGTCTCAAATATCACGTGCTGAGGTCCGGGTGTCGGGACTAAGTACCCCGGCACTCAGGACTCCCATATGTCAAGTCCCGAGTTCCAATTATTGAATACCGAGGCTTGCATCCAAATTATTTAGTCCCACATATCACTTGGGAAATGCTCAAAATTGAGTATTGAGGTCCGGATCACAATTGGTACATGGTATTCATTTGTTGGAATGTATATAGGTCACAATGCTTGCTCTTTGTTTGATCTTTCACACGCTGTATGGACCATCCACACTAGCCCATCCACATGATGGAACACCAGCATAAATATGAACAGCATCCCTCATATACCATGCCCAAGCAATCCGATCCCCTTCCACATCATACACTCCATGTCTCACAATCTTTCCAGAAAACGCAATCATACAGCCGGAATTGTACTTGAACTCCAGCTGAAGGTTTGGCATTGTCATCCGAGCATTAGAATAGTCCCCCACGGTGGTGAGAATGTCAAAGCATTCAGCAATGGACATGTGGTCTCGATGATGGGGGGTTTCCCGATTGGAAATGATGGAGAGGGTGTTAAACATGGATGCCCAGTACTGCAGGGCCTCCGGCATCTGTGGCAGATCCTTGCTTACTGCTATATTTCCAAGGTTTGACAAGGTTCTCAACCCTGCCCAGTACTGCTCAGGATGCATGACTCTGAGTGCCGCAGACGCAATGGCTGCTGGCCTTGCAATGGCTTTGAGGATATTCTTGCAGGAAGGTCCCTTCAATGATGCAGATACCTCCGGATCGGACACATTCTTTGGGATTGGTAAGTATGACTGCCGGAATCACCATCTCATCAGATCCTACCTCGTGTCCCTGTTGAAACCATGCTGGAGATAGATTGATGCATCCGGGAGTTGCTCCAACATCTTCCGAGCCCCGGTTGAACAACCTTTGATTAGTTCACCAATTGCCATCAGCCCTTACACTTTTTTCAAGGCTTGGAGAGAGCAAATAGGTGGCCTCCCTGATTTCCTTCTGTAGGTTCCATTAATATTTGATATCCATCGAGTAACAATGTATATTACACACCTGGGTGGTGTCTGTCAGGGCGTCTGGGAGATACCATGCAATGATGGCACCGGATGCATCAAGAATTATTGCAGGTTCATCGACCAACCTTTTGCCTTCATGGCCAGGAGGACACCTCTCAAGCAACCTCGCCTCTTTATGTTCATTATGCCCAGTGTCCTTCGGGGAGATCAATTTGCTATATCTTGCAATATCCATCTGCATCTGAACTGTCATGCAGGAATTTGAATGATAAATAGAATTTTCCGAATCTGCAGGAAGACCCACTGGGATTTTTAGATGCCTTTATGAGTACATCAGCCAAGCGATCGCATGCCATCACCAGATCAGTGTCTAGGTTGGGGGAAGGTATGACTGGGCCTCCTCCAGTCTTCTCTGCCTTGAATTTCTGTTCAGTATATTCCCCTGCTTCATAAGTCACAGTCAGGGCCCAAGTGCGCCAGATGTTTATGCTATCAGGAGGGGAAGGGGAAGAACCGTTCATGCTGGATGTTAATCTTGGGAAATCAGACGCTGAATGCTGGATGTCCGGACTTTGGTGTTATAGGGGGTGGAGATAGAGAGGATCAGATAAGGGAGCCTGGGATAATTTTGGCTGTCAAAGATGTATTATTATCCATTGCTCAATGAAATACTACCTGATTGGAAGTGTGCTGGTCATCAGATATTCATTTGTTGACTCCCAGGTCCCAGAAGTCAGAAGTCGGTATGGTTGACCCATATTTGGGTGGTCGGAATTTGGCGTCTCATAGGGCAACACAAGCTTCGCACAGCCATGTCAGGAGATCACCTGCTGCTCCAGGAACTCGGTAACTTTGATTTATTACCTCCTCTGAGTACGGTTGACTCACATTTTGGTGGTCAGAACTTGGCTTCTCATAGGGCAACACAAGCTTCACACCCCGGATTCCACATTCTGTAAGACAACCTAAGCACCATCAAAGGCCATGTCAAAAGAGCACCTGCTGCTCTCTTCAGAAACATCTCAACTTCGGTTGGCCATTTAACACGGAAAGTATTAACTAAATTATATCTTGAGTTCCGGGTCCCGGAACTCAGAACTTGGAACTTGGTACAGTTGACTCAAATTCTGGTGGTCAGAACTTGGCTTCTTGTAGGGCAACACAAGCTTTGCACCCCAGATTCCACATTCTGCAAGACAACCTGTGCACCATCAAAAAGTATTAACTAAATTATGTGTTGAGTTCTGGGTCCCGGAACTCGGAACTCGGTACAGTTGACTCAAATTCTGGTGGTTGGAACTTGGCGTCTCATAGGGCAACACAAGCTTCGTGTTACAGTCACTACGAGAGCCCCCAGCTACTCGACTAGCCCTCTGCCACCCTGCACGGCAATAGCACGATAACCGGGCCTTTAGGCCTTGACGATAGATAACGAATAGAAGAGAAGTCCGGAAGATGCCGGATTAGGTAAGCGATCTGGATCGCTTACATGATATGACGACATAGGTCTAGAAGACCTATATATGTTATCAAGATAGAAGGCAAGCCTCATGGTTGCCTCATGTACTGATAGAAGGACGCCTCGCGGTCCTTATCCTAGATAGAAGCCTGCCTCATGCATGGTATCTCTGACTCGATAGATAAGCAGATTAGAACCCAGCTTCAAGCTGAGCTTAGATCGATAGAGTAGCCTTATATAAGGTCGACGATTAAAGTAGATGTTCCTTACTTTAATCCTACTGGGTTTACCACCGAAACCTTTGTCTTGCTAAAGCTACTTGCCTGACATCAGATCCGTACCTTCAGAAGGACTTGAGACCCCTTCTGCCTGTAAACCGCTATCATCGTTCGCCTCCGCAAACGTACGCAACTCCTGCTCTTCTGTAGGAGCCGACCTTGGACTCTCAGCACGAGATATCACTGTTGTGATCGTCGCTGTTAGATCATCCCAGTCCGCACGCGACACACGTCGTAACAAAGGATTAAAGTCCCCTTATCGTACGCCTCCATCACAGGCTACAAGATAACTGATCGCACTTGCTGTCAACGTTACCGACACTCGTAGAACCCCGAACCCAGATCCCGAAAGGATTTCCATATCCCTGATCTAGAACCCTGATCGTACCGGCCTGACCAGTTGCAAGAATATAAGAACCGCCGTCACTGTGGAAAGCTCCAAGAAAAGGATACCACGAAGATCGTAGAAACCATCTACAATATGGCAACTACCAGAAACACCTTCGCCGCCGCACACCTCACCGGGAAGGAGACTCGCCTCTGTTTGCGAGAGAAGAAATGTTTTGTGTGCCACATCATCGGACACAAAGCTGCGAGCTGTCCTCAATGGACCCGAACCTCACGGAGAAAGATGATCGAAGAAGAACCCCGCCTGCGCACTATCAAAGTGGCCGGGGCTAAGGATGATCTACGGGTGAACGCCACCCTGATTTCCAGAACAAGAAGTAACCCCATCGCGACATCTATGATCGTAGATTCTGGGGCGTGTCAGTCCTTTGTCAACCAGGACACAATCACGCAGCACCACATCTTGACACACCAGCTAGAGAACCCCCTGACACTCTCAAACGCTGATGGATCCTGCTTCGGAAAGAAGCCGATAGAAAGGTTTTGCAACCTTACATTCCAGATCGATGAACGGGTAATTTCCGAACGGTTTTACCTAGCCGAACTTGGTCCAAAAGACAAGTTCCTGCTTGGACGACCTTGGCTTATCAGCCAGAACCCCCTGATCAATTGGAAAACCGGCGCGGTAACCCTCAAAAGTACCGCAGATTCCCGAAAGAAGCAGAAAGAAATAGATTCTGATCGGAAGAAGAACGGCAAGGCGCCCCTCTTCCTGAAAGAAGAAAAGAAGGTAGCATCGAAGAGAAAACGATCGGTATCCCCGACTACTCCCCGCACCTCCTCTTTGGGCTCTGTACCATTAGCCCGAACAACACAGAACGCACCGGCCCACGAAGAGCCGCAGAACGGAACCCCCGTTAAACCTTCAGAGACCGCACCACAGCCCGCGAAAACTGTGACGAAGAAAGACTCGCTGCCTAGAATCGACCTTGCAGCAAGAAGATATGAACAGAAGAGACCGGCCACTGATCCAGAGACAACTCAGAAGAATACTTCCAGACCGGCGCTGATATCTGACCACATTTATCCCGAACCGCCACGAACGAAGAAGATTGTACCGGCTGTTCAGCCGATGAAGATTGAAGAAGATCCCGCACCTGCCCGATATGAATTCTCGGCAGAACCCGCACAAGTCCTTGGGAAGGGACGTGCGATAACGAACGAAGAACCGCCTGTATCCAAGGCGCCCAGACTGGCCCCTGAACCAGAAATAACTCAGAGATTCAAATTCTCCGGAGAACCGATATCCGTTCTCGGAAAAGGACGAGCAGTCTGAATCGAAGACCCTCCCACCGCCAAGAAACTCAGATTCTATGAAAGTCCTGAGTCCGCAATGGAGGAAGACCCCGAACCGGCGTATTTAACTGCCGATGAACCACCGAATTCCCTCAACCTCTCCATGACACCCGTGCATAATTCCGAAGACGCAATGACGCTGTCTTCTGACACCGAACTCCCTCCTGTGTTACAAGAAGCCCAGGATATTTTCATTGAACGAATCACTTCGATCCACGAAGCATATCGTCAAAATGAAATAGAAAAGGAAGCACAAGACGCCGGGCCCAGTTTTGTCCGATTTATCGACATGGACAACTCCGAGGATGACGAGGATGAAGATAATGATGCACCCTCTTCGCATGATCTGCGAATGGTAGATTCAGAAGGAAACGACTTCGAAGACGACGGCCCGCTCCCTGGCCTAGACTTCTGATTGGATATGATTAGTCGGTGACTAATAGCTTAGTAAGGGGGTGAAATCCTCCATTTTACTTATTTTTCCACGCCTACTCCACCCCGAACACTGATCACCGATCCCGAACTCGACCTACTTCTATGAAGGTCCGTAATGACCCTAAACTAGATATAGTCCGGAAAGACTCTAAACTACGATTGTCCGAAATGACTTGAAACTAGACGATGAAAGGACGAACCCCGGAAAACTCCTGCAAGCTTCGGGACCCCTCACATCACTGCACTTCGACCACCTGAGTAGACCATGTATAAACAAAGGGTAATAGAAGACGATCTCCCCGCTGGACGACCCCAAGAAACTCCTACAAAGCCTTGGTACCCACACTCGGACCCCCACCTTCGACATCTAATAAAGAACCCAGAAATGGATCTATAAAAGATAAGAAGACTAGACCTCCGGAACGAGGCTAAACTATCACGAGACGAACTCCACGGAAACTCCTGCAAGCCCATGGAACCCTCTAGAACCCATCATGGCAATGACGACCACCCTCTGATGACGACCTGATCTTTCAACAAAGATTAAGGATGATAGTACCTATCACGGCACTTTCCCTCTGATAGCGAAGAAGAATCTCGAACACGAGTTAGCCTCATGGCTAGATAAAAGACGATAAGAGATAACGATAAGGATAAGTTCAGATTGAATCGGAGCTTGGACTGATCTGGAAGAAGGTTATAAACCCTCTCGATCCCTGAACATCTCTCCCAACAAACCTCCACCATCATGACGAACTCCATTGACAACGACTCTATCAAAATAGCACTGAAGGACTCAGACTACGGATCAGTCCTCAGAATGACAGAAAACAGCGCGTTCAACGAAGCTGCTATTCTAACCCCCGCGTACTCCCAAGCGATCGACGAAATCCTTGGTGAACAAGACGCCAGAACTGCAGCGTGTACATCCCTCACCGTCTGCATTATACGAACCACGAAGCTGCTGGAAGATGTAGCCAATCGTGTTGACCTTGATGAAGCAACTCGGAAACTTGCTATACTTCATCTGCAACGGCGGATCAGAAACTTCGCACTTCACTTACTCCCCCTCGACTTCTCCGATATCACCGATCAAGCGATAAAGAAAGTTGAAGTGAAGCCACTTGTAGAAGAACCCCGCCCGGTACGCCCGCTAAGAAGAAAGGCGGCTACCATAGACCGAACCCGCACCACGCTCTGCAGGCGCTGCGGAGGATACGGACATAAGTTCAGAAAATGTCCAGATTATGTTTGTTGCATCTGCGATGAACTCGGACCTGACCACCTGTCTGTCCACTGCCCACGACTCGAAGGACGCACTGTGCTCCAAGAGTTTAGCGACGAAGAGAAGTTCTTTGAAGCTCTCTTAGATTGGGAGAATAATCGCAAGGCACTTATGGATCTAGAACTTCGGCATCCCACCGAACTTTCCCCTGCCCCCGAAACTCCCTCAGTACCTTCCGTCTCCACGTCAGCAATTCCTGCACCACCTACTGCTACGATGGAAGAAGATGTTTAGAAATCAAAGTCGGTGACTTTGTGCGTAGTAATGGGGTAATGTTACAGTCACTACGAGAGCCCCCAGCTACTCGACTAGCCCTCTGCCACCCTGCACGGCAATAGCACGATAACCGGGCCTTTAGGCCTTGACGATAGATAACGAATAGAAGAGAAGTCCGGAAGATGCCGGATTAGGTAAGCGATCTGGATCGCTTACATGATATGACGACATAGGTCTAGAAGACCTATATATGTTATCAAGATAGAAGGCAAGCCTCATGGTTGCCTCATGTACTGATAGAAGGACGCCTCGCGGTCCTTATCCTAGATAGAAGCCTGCCTCATGCATGGTATCTCTGACTCGATAGATAAGCAGATTAGAACCCAGCTTCAAGCTGAGCTTAGATCGATAGAGTAGCCTTATATAAGGTCGACGATTAAAGTAGATGTTCCTTACTTTAATCCTACTGGGTTTACCACCGAAACCTTTGTCTTGCTAAAGCTACTTGCCTGACATCAGATCCGTACCTTCAGAAGGACTTGAGACCCCTTCTGCCTGTAAACCGCTATCATCGTTCGCCTCCGCAAACGTACGCAACTCCTGCTCTTCTGTAGGAGCCGACCTTGGACTCTCAGCACGAGATATCACTGTTGTGATCGTCGCTGTTAGATCATCCCAGTCCGCACGCGACACACGTCGTAACACTTCGCACCACCATGTCAGGAGATCACCTGATGCTCCAGGAACTTGGTAACTTTGATTTATTACCTCCTCTGATTTGGTTGATGTACAACTACCTCAGCTCCATCATGTCTACAATTATGATACACATGGGCCCACTCATCTATATTTTATACCACCCTCAGCCCACACGTCTAATACAACATCCCATACAACACCCTCGGCCCACTGGTCTAATTAATATGCGTCTGGGCCCACCCGTATAATACAATATTTTATAATACCCTCGGCCCACCTGTCTAATACAATATTTTATAATACCCTCGGCCCACCTGTCTAATTTAATATGTGTCTGGGCCCACCCGTGAATGTGATAACAAGTACCTACCCATCTATCTCATACACATCTACCTTAATACACCCATCTGCATAATATCCAACTACCTCGGCCCACCCGTCTACCTAATATTCATGTACATCGGCCCACCTGCCTCCATTGGGAATAATTTGCCTCCTGGCCCATCCGTCATAGTCGAGGATATTGTTATCCTGGGCCCATGGTCTGCTGGCCTGTATCATACAGGATATTATGCATGTCTGTTCCCTCGTATTATATGGAGATAGGTCACTGTCATATGTGCATCAATTTCGGTATCATGAAGACATACTGGAACACCACAACCAGTGACCATGTACCATTTTGCCATGGTTGATATCTATCTGGCACCCCTGCATTTGCTTCAATAAACACTCACTTAGGAGTTGAGCCAGGTCGTCGCGATGATCTGGAGTCGCTCACTTATATGTTAATCTATCTCTTATGTGGCTCTCTTCTGTGGTTAACCAGTGATGATGAGAAGTTGCCCACCTCTACCATACTCAAGCGCAAAGCACATGCTACCATTGCAAATATTTGTCATGGAATCCCTGTTGAGTTCGCGACATTTCTTATTTACACATGCTCTCTAGCATTTGCAGAGGACCCTGACGATGATCACCTATGTTCATTACTTTGTGGTCTTTGTGCCACATTGCCTACACCAACCACATGCAGGTTGGATTTCAATCAACCTGATGATGCTGTCATGCATCCTCCTCCATTATCTGATCAACATCACTGCTGTAGAAACAACTATTCAGATGGGGATATACTGAACTATGTGTTGGGTCTTGCTTGCCTAAGCTGCTATGCTTGTAGTGACAAGTGCGTTCGACCCTAAAGGGGAAGCAAGTGCAGCAGAGATCTAGAGATTGGTGTGGAGGGTGCCACTCGTTGGCCGACGTGAAGTGCGGGAAAGCACGTGAGGTGCGAGCACGAGAACGAAGCGCTTAGGGCGGCCGATGCATGGAAAGGTAGTGCTTGGGCAGCGCAAAGCGCAGGAAAAGCGCAAGGTGGGTTTACAAGAAGAGGGTCATAATAGACATTGAGGATATTCTTATTGCCAATAGCTACTAATTATGGCATGTGACAGATGAGCTTTACACTGATAGTGAGGTGCAGGGAGCTTCTATATGATTCGATGATGTAAATTATGAACTACCGGCACTTATATATGTCTAAAAATGCGCCCCTGAAGCGGAGCCAAAGCGAGTAGGTAAGGTATGTAATAAGGGTCCATGACATGAGAATTGAGCAATCATTAAAATATAATATGGTCTGATATGGAGAAAATGATATGAACACATACCAGTGAGGTTAGTTTGGACAATGGATGGATGTGCAACGTAGGGCGCTTTGAGCGCGGGAAAGTGCGCCTAATGCGCGCGGGAGAATGCAGTGCTTGGGGCGGCCGATGCACAGGAAGGTAGTGTGCGCTTGGCATGGGAGAGTTTCACTTCACCTAGGGAATGATTGGAAAGGTATTTGGCACAAGTTGTGCATCAAACTGTACTTTGAGACAGTCGCATATATAGCCTCTGCAAGGCCACAGAAATATCAGTCTCTACACTGCATCCACCAAAGGCAATGCATAGATCAACTCGTCTGTGAGTAGTTTGTTTGTGTCATCTTCAAACTGAGCTTAGTTTATGTGAAAGGTCACACCCACACAATGACTTCCTACCACATACTGTGTCAACTCCACAGTGGAAACAGTTCTAGTCACAGAATGATGTATAACCTGTAGACTATAGTACTATAATGTATGCACCCCCTGTTGTGATCGCTTCTCTCACCTGCAGACTTCATTTATGTTGTAACAGATTGTCAGAATGCTGAGGAGAGGAGTGTGAGATGGCAGGAGGTCAGACAGTTGTTAGAGGTGAAGTATATTGTTGGTGGATGGGACTTTCAGATTGCAGTTGTTTGCTGACATTGATGGAGGATTAAGTGTACTGTTTACACCAGAACTCGCATGTATTCTATGTTCTAACATATTGTAGAGTAATGAGTGGAAGTAGAACACATATACATACATAGCCAAGCATGTAGCAAATAGCGTGTATTTTTTAGGCAGCAATATTCCCATTATCTTCCCTTACTGGTTCTTTCTAGTTTCTTTCCTTGTTCTCCGGTCCAGTTTAATCTTTCTTCCAGATGCTCTTCCTTGCATATTGGTGAAGGTGCCTTGTCAGTTCTGAATATTGAGGTTGATCCCATTTCAGCTTCTGCCCTCTGTATAACTCCTGCTCAGATCCTTTATTGTGGCTGAAGTTTGCTGATCAGTTGGATAGCATTAGCATCACTGTTTTATGGTCAAACTTGTGTGTCATGTTTTACTAGTATTATATATGAAAACTCACCTTTCCTGTATCATATAATTCATATTGCTACCATATAGGCTCGCTATGCATGTCAGGGATCTTTCACCAATGTGCTACCCCATTTTTGCTGGTCTTCTGCATGCACTCAACACACATTTTTTATATGACTGTATGTTGGATAAGATCTATTACATCAAACGCAGTACTCACAACTTCTGAAGGTATTCTATGCATCACAGTATCACCATCAAATGAATTATGCTACTGTATCATGCATTGCCTTGGGATTTACTCTATGCGTTCTTCAATCTTTTGTGGTCAAAGAAGAAATATCTGATTGACTGTGGCACTAACTCAATCTGATCTATGTTTCGATGAAAGTACTAGTTGCATGTAAGTATTTGGGCAAAGCCCCACAGGGGTTTTCGGCCAGAAACACCGCTCCGAACCTAAGAGGTCGAGATGAGCTGTGATTCCCAAACACATAAGGAGCCCAGCGATGTGTCAGGCGCAGCTTGAACTCCTTATTATAAGGAGCGGGGCGAGACACACCTTGAATCAGCGCAGCTGTGGCATCGTGTAGCAGGTGAAAGGTTCAATGATTGATGTATCTTGAAGGTAAGGTGCCATTATTATGGTGTGATCGCGTAGATAAATGGTGAACGCTTCACTCGACCACCTTCCCATGGACTTGATGACGTCAAACGGGACTCCACGTAACAGGTATTCCAGTGTTCCTCCAATTCGAATACAATGACCCTTTAGTTCTGGGCACCCTCCCTGCTTGGCGATCAATCCAATTCTCTTCAAGAACGCTCCTTGTGTTAGAGGGTGTATGCCGTTGGCGTGTCTCCATGCGAATAGGTGTTGGTCAGATGAAGGATTGTTGATTGCAAAATGATTCATGAGTGCTGCTTTAGGATCCAAAGCATCTGACTGCTCGGCCCAGTAGATATCTTCGCCGTTTCCAGAGGTCTTTGTGCGCGGTACGTGAATCTTAGAAGCTCTGAAGCTGTGGCGATCTTCGCCATCTAACTGTGCATCTCCCCATTTCACGTGTTGATCTGGGTTGAACGTTTTGATTGATCTGACTGTTAACTCTCCCAGCCTCGCGAGAGAATAAAACGAACTCATTAAGCACGCGAAAACTGCAGTGTCCAAGGGCTTTTCTAGATTCAGGTGCGTTCGGATCTGTAAGATGTACGTGACTGTGAATGGTTCCATTTTTAGGCATTTGGATTCTGCAGGGGCTGCGTTAGATGCGCCATCTAACGCTGACTTTAGCTCCCCATGTTCTATCCTCCAGGCTTGTCCATGAAGAACGTGCCAAGCCCAAATGCCGAAGACGTAATTAGCTAAAGTTTTGCCTGCGTATGCTCCAGCGCAGCATGCTACGAAGGTGAGAAGTGTTCGTGTGTCGGCAGGGCACCGTTCATGTTCTGGTATGCTTCGAGCATTGCAGAACACATGAAAAACTAATAGTCCTGCTCCGTATGATTCTCTGGTGCCTTGGGACCATGAGGAGTTCATTACTGTTAGAACTTGCTCAAGGTCTTCGTCTGTGATAGCAAGCATACTACCATCTGCGCTCTGGAAGGGTCGACTTTCTATTGGCCGCCATAACTTGAGTCTGTCGCGGGCCAGACAGTGTGGTCTCAATGACGATGCCATTGGAGTCAATCCTGCCTTGTATGGGGGAGGCTTCATTAAGTGAGTTGTAGTCACTATTGGTGTCACAAAACGAGAGCGCTCTCTCTGATTTTGTGGTTCTCTTCCTCTATTGTGATCTAGAGCATTCTCTGGTGTCGGTAATGCGCTGATTGGGATATTGGACAGTAAGCGCGCTGAAGGTAACATTGATTCAGTATTGTGATGGCTCCTTTGGTGCGAGGTAGAATGGATCATAGATGAAATGGCGAAGAGGGTTGGGGAGGGGGATGAATGGGAGGAGTAACCTGGTATCACCATATATTCCTCTGGATGGACCGTCCGCTGGGTTTGACTTGCTGGTAACGTATGTGGGATGGAAAGAGTGTGAAGTTCGTAAGTTGGATAGGAATTTGAAGGTGCATCTAAAGACTTGATTGATGGCGGTGTTGCGACTGCGTCCATTCTTCCAGCCTTTGATGACTCCTTGATTGTCGCCATAGACACGAAAGTGTTGTTCTGGTCTATCCATGGCGACAAGGTATCGAATGAGAAGCTCAAATCCGACTGCTTCGGCCCATCCAATCTCTTTCTGTCCATCAAGAGTTGCCCAACCTGGGTACAATATCCATGCTCTCCACTGTTCTCCAATGACAATGCCGATCCCAAAGCCAGAGCTGGCATCAGAAAAACCTTTGGGGTCGTACAATTTGACCAGTCTTGGGATTTCTCATCCGACAAACTTACTCTGTAAGAGGTTTGACCACCACTCGACGTCCTCTGTGAGAGCTTTAATGGATCTGTGAGGCAAGAAAGGACACTGATGACAAATCCGCAGCATGACTTCCAGACTTGTGAGATAAGCCTGTCCTCTCAGATATACCAATGACACGTGCAAGAGCTTGCTGTGCAGCTTCTGCACATCATTGAGCACGTGCGCTGTGCGCGCCTGACAGTCTTGTAATGCATGGAGATACTTCGCCTTTTTCTCTTCTCCCAGGTATACCAGGTTACCTGTGAGGTCCCAAGTGAAACTGATGTAAGGATTAGAATAAGAGAAATGAGAGTCCTTCTCCGGCTCCCAGGGCATTCGAGTGTCACGAGATAGCCTATTAATGTCGTCGAAATTGTAAGTAAAGACCTCATCCTCTGGTGACCGGTGCGAGGCTTTTGACAAATCAATGATAGGAAACCTGCAGTCTTCATCGAACTCTTCGATAGTTCCGTCATCAAAGACTCTCCCACTGAACCATATTCGTCCTCCGTCTTGATGACTACCCCTTTCGATAATGTCCTTATGCCATTCTCGTCGTTGCTCATTATACCTTTCACGAAAGTCTTTCCGTATACGAAAGAATAGATGGTCGTCAACCCAATGTGACGCCAGACCAAGACCTTCAGATCTAAAGATATTGAGTCCAGCACCTGCAATGCAGCCGTAAGCTCCTGCGGAAGGTGAGACTCCGAACGAGGTGCAGGTGTCAATACAGAACTGATTGTCGGCGATACGCACCATGGCTGCAGGCCACTGTGAATGATGCAATGGGATGGTGCGATATGCTTCAGCGACGTCTCTTGTCGCGATTTGTGATCCAGGAGGTAGCCAGCTGATGAGAAGCGCGACTGTATAGAAAGTTCCCCAGGTACTGGGAAACTGATCTGTGTCAATATATGAATTAATGGATGGATTAGGGAATTCAATAGAAGGCGCATGGGGAAAAGAATAATCTTGAATGATACAGAAACATCCTGGTCGACCTGGTTTCGGAATGATCGAGAAGGGGGAAGATTGGAAAGGACCGATGAAGCTCTCGATTTCGGCCGCTGTGCATGGGCCAATATATCTCTCTTTTTGGATTTCAGATTTGATGATAGATTGGAATTCATTTGTATAGACAAGATTGGAATCTTTGTTCGGGGGGGATTGTGTGACTTTAATGACAGGAAGATTAAGATGAAAACCTCGACGGAATCCTTCGGGAATATGAGAGTATCTATCGATAAGGCCAGCTCGTGTAAGGCGAGCTTCCCAAGCATCAGCATTATATGGAGTAAGCGCTCTAAGCTTTCTGTGTTCGAGGGCAATTCTGGGCCCCGTGCGAGGAGGAGGCACATCCAGAGCAGAAATGTCGACGATTGTGAGAGATATCGCTGCATCCTGCGACCTGTTGCCAGTCGCTGCAAATTGCACGACCGTCTCGCATGTTGAGGAGTTTCCCGACTCAAGCACAGAGGGTGTCCGAGGTGTTGTCCCAAGTCTTGGTAGCTTTGCACTCGATGATCTTGTGCGGGTGTCTCCCCAGGCAGACAGCGCAAGTGGAGAGGGGACCTCTGTTTGCGCTGCTTCGAAAATCCTGCTGTGAATGTTTGTGTGAATCCGGTGGGGGTGATTGACGACGATATTCTTGTTCCTGGCTCGGAGACCCTGAACGTCATCGTTGATCTTTGATTGCACGGCTGTTGTCTCTGCCTTTGTGATGATAGTTAGATGATGCTCCTGCTGCAAGAAGGTTGATCCAATGGTCAATCTTGTAGTCTCACCTATTGTCTAGCTTCATATGCTCTTCGAGGTAGAGGTCTGATCTGGTGCGCTCTAAGAGCACCTCATTAATCCGAGAGAGGTCATATGCTCCTCGAGCTGATTTGACTGTGATGTGCCAATGCTTCCTCTGTTCTGCCTGGTATACGAGCAGTGCTCTCTGCGCTAAGGGGTCGCGCATGGAGCGGAAATTGTGAACCTGCAAGTTACGCCAGAAGAGGGCCATCATTTGGATGTGATCTGCGGGCCATGCAGCCTCTTGCATGGCCTCAATAATACGTGGACAAGCTTGACAGAAATCTTCAAACCTAAGATTCTGGTCGTCAACAACTGCTCTTGCATTCCAAGTTGACGCGGCTGATATCCATGCAGTATCTCCTCCTGCTAACGTGGCCATGATCATAGCGTCTTCATTGACAGAGCTCTTAAGTTTGGCATCGTCGAGACCTTCATTGGTGAAGTACCAGAGTTCGACGTAATCGCCCTTGTCGAGTTTGTGTAGAGCATAAGAAGAGGGAAGGATTATAGGCTTCAGAGGTACATCCAGGTCCAGAATGGCAGTGTACTTATGCTTGTTCTTTTTTCTATCTTCCTTCCGTGCTGCTTCTTCCTCATCATGGGTCTCTTGTTCCTGCCTTTCTCGCTCCTCGTTGTCGAGTCTCTCTAATTGTTCTCGCCAGTCTCTGTCTTCGTTCACCTGTGCTTGCCATTGAAGCTTTGCAGCATTGTTCTCTGCTTGCCATATGTTCCGGAGTATTACAATGGCCTGCGGTTTGGTGATGTTCTCATTGGTCAATTGAAGTCTCGTATTGATGAATGCGTCGTCCGCATAATTGGGACAAAAACTCAAATTCGGGTCGCTCGGTAGATGCGGCATATTAGAGTTGGAAGGACTCTAGTCCGTTGTATAAAGAAATGCGAAAGAACGAGTGTTACGACTCGGAGTCGTAGAGTACTGATAATTTGCAAGTAGTAGTACGAAGCAAAGAAGAGATGTCCCAAAAAGGACATCTGCCACATAGACAACATTCTATGTTCGTCCTCGTTCCTCGGACTCACTTAGAAAACAACATTTGGTGCGTACATTAACGTGTTCTGGGGTTTCCCAGAATGAATGTTTATATGTCGTTGGATTAATACCATTACTACCACAGATGTAAAGTCACTGACATGGGCAGAACAAGGCACAGGCAGTGGCCTCCCCCACTGCCGCTGCTATCCCCATCACTACTACTGCTATCCCCATCGCCACTGCTGCTATCCCTGCTGTGAATGCTACTACTCTTCAAAATGCCCATCAGCGACGACTTCCTGCTAGATACAGGATCTCTGATGCAGCTTCCCCTGGTCCAGATGAGGGTGAAACCTTTGACCTCGAGAATATCTCAGGGGATGAAGAGGAACCAAGTGATTTGCCAGTGCCTGCCACTATGACGCCTGTAGGCTCTCATCCAAGCCTACTCCAGACCAGCACCAGCACCATTTGGACTGACCCTTTGGCCACTGGCAACCTCAAGCAAGCCAAAGGGCCAACAGATATAGCTCACTTTTACTGGGTTGATACCGATACTAAGGGCAAAACTTGCATCCCTTGTGAGTAAGTATTGTATCTGCAATCTTTTGTTGTTTCTCACACCTTTCATCAGAACACTACATGAGATCGATGAAATGCACAAGGTCATGGTATATGCAGGTTCAACATCCACTTCAGCTCCCCGAGCACATGCCTTCACTTATCACACCAACCTTTATTTGGAAGCAGCAGAACATTTAGGCTGGTGCATCCTGATAAAGGATCTAAGTGAATCCCTAGCTGAAGGATGGACACTTGCAACAATTTGCGCACAGCTCAAGAAATTGCCTTGTACAATACAATCACTTGGTTCTCCTCCTAATCAGGGATCTGGTGCTTTGCTCATGGGAGCCAGCTCTCCAGATGATGCGATTCCAGACTTCACACTTGATGAAATGCATTGTCAAATTGTGAAGTTTATCCTTGCCGATGATCAAGTGAGTCGCAGTTCACCCCCTACAGGCACTATTAATAATTTCTCCCAGGCAATAAACATGATTGAGTGTCCTGAATTTAGACACCTCATCCATTTCCTACAGCCAGAAATTGGTGAGACTGGCCTATTTTACTGCACGAAGGCTCATGAAATGATCATTGAGCAATGGCAAGAATATTTCCTGGCCTTGAAGACTGACCTTGCTGTAAGTGCATGGTTGTCAAGCATCTCATGACATATCTTATTCCTTTTAGAACGCACAGGGTAAAGTTTGCTTTACATCTGACCTGTGGTCGGATTATAAGCTCTGGCCATTCATGGCCATCACGGCTCATTGGGTTGCTAAGGCTGATAAAGATTCAATGCTCATGCTAAAGGCGGTGCTCATTGCTTTCCATTATGTTCCCGGTAGTCATGATGGGTCATCTCTTGGTTCTGTAATATTATATCTCCTCGATCGTGCAGAGACTATGACCAAGGTCAGTACTAATTCATATTGTATCGCATGTTCTGATGTCATTTAGATGGGGCACTTTACTCTTGACAACACAGGTAACAATCATACCACAATGCAGGAGCTTTTGACCTTACTTGGGCAATGTGGCATTAATTTTAATCTAACTGAACACAGGATACCATGTTTTCCGCACATTGTAAACATATGTGTGAAGCATATTATTGATGAATACACTACTGCTGACTTTTCCATTGTGGCCAATACATGGTCAGTCAAAGGTCAGATCATTGACAAACCAGATTACATCCAGGCTGTGCAAAACAAGCCTCTTGAGTGAGCCAGACATGTTGTGCAGCTGATCTGTGCATCAAACTAGTGGCATGACAGGTTTCGTGACACTATCCTTAGGGGTAATGAGGAGGGATGGTTTCAAGATGACACAGGCGAGCATATGCAGCTCCCAGTTGTAGAGGTCCTCCTAGATGAGCCTACTAGATGGGATTCAGTATATGTCATGATCAACCACTTGCGGACACTCCATCAGGTAAGATGCCCACCACTAAACATATCACATAGACTAATACTAACCCAGGCAATAAGTGCCTTTTTCAATGCTTGGCCTCAATGCAACATATCTGAGAGAAAATTGAGCGAAATAGATTGGCAGTTCCTTGAGGATCTAGAAGTGATATTGGAGGTGTGTTCGAACTTCAAAACCCATTATGCATCTTATAATTTCATACCAGGCTCCTCACATCACCCAGCAAAAACTCTCTAGTGAAAGCACTCCCTTGCTGAGTCATGTGGTTCCCATGTTTGAAGAGATGATCGAGGGCTGGCAGTCTATTTGCCTACATTCACCTCATTGTAAACCTTTTGTCAACATAGGCTTAACCTGGGCAAGAAAATACACTACCCAGATGAGTGCGACACATGCTTATGCTGTCGCTATGTGTCAATCCCATATATTTTTTTCAAAATAAATGTTGATCTCATGATTACTTTTGTAGTTGTTGACCCTATGATGTGAATGTCATGGATCAACACTCAATGGGAGGTGGACCAAATTTCTGCTACCAAGGATTTTATTGTGAAGTTGGTATATCTCTGTAATAAGTCATGGTAAAGGTGCAACTTTGGACTGATTTATTCCACAGATGCATAGCAAGAGAGCAGAATGCTCTGATCCTGTGCAATGTCGACCTGTAGTAGCTATACAACAACAACCACGTACACTAGGTGCGCGTTGCTACAAACTTCCTAAGGCAAATGTGTCGCATCCCCATGACAATGGTCAAACTGTAGATCAAGAGTTCACAGCATACACTACAGCTGCTCTTAGTCCTCAGGTAACAGATATACTTATATTTTGGAATGTAAGTCCATTCGCCTTCAAGTCCCACCTTTTGTCGTTAACCACAAGTTGTCAACCAGGCTTCACAGTCCATGTTCCCAACCATCTACTCAATCGCCATGGACTATACTCCAATACAAGCCTCTGCTGTTACAAGTAACATCGGCTACATGGTCCCCCTATCATTTTTCCCCTTTGTCCTCGCCCTCGTATGCCTCCGGCTCGTACTTCTCTACCGACTATCCGTTGACCGGATCCTCGGGACCGTTCCCGTCCCTCATCCCCCTCCTATCGCACCAACGTGCACACGTGCCTTCGGGCTATGACTCGTTCTGACTCGTACCACCAATGTGGCTTTCCTTATCTTGTCTTATCTTTCCTCTGACTCATGCGTGCTGCGCATTGTATCATTTACCGTTGGCTCGTTCCAATGTTTCTCGGTCTCATTCCGCATTCGACCTCACATCACTAATCAGGCTCTGCTACCAGTGTACCTATACCCTTTCCGTTTCCCCTTTGCCCTTACCTACAGTATGGTAGCCTTGCCCTTAACCCTTTCCACTTACTATAAGTAGTCGGTCACTCTGTACTAGATTCCATAACTTGAATCTACTCAATCTTCCCTCAAACATACTTCCCTCTGAAGCCCCCTCAGCTTCAGTCTCTAGTATCTTTTCTTAGGTGCTCATCATGCCTAAGTCTACCTCGATCGACTAACTCATCGTTCGGACAAGACTGTCCTTACTTTGAGAACGTCAGTGACTTTGAAGACATCCGTCTTAGAAGTCACGTGACACGCGCGTCTCTGATATCTGCCGACTCGACGTCGCCAGTCTCAGTCGCTACACTGGACCCTTCTGGTTACGTCACGAACGTTAGCGGACGACGCCCCTCTTAGGGCTCCGCATAACAGATCTATTTGAGTGTGTAACATCTGCTGTGTCATGCAAGCGGGTATTTTCCTCGAGTAGTGAAACTCATATGAAAAAAGGAATCATCTCAGCCCTGTTTTGATGGAAGCATTACAGATGGTCAAATTTTTCCTGAAGAAGAAACACCTCGACTTCACTAAAGGTTGGGCAGCCTCTCAATGGGATATGGAACAGTGCATGGTATATGACAGAAGCTCCTATGAGCACTTGACACCTTCCGCCAACGCAAACGATACTCTTCTCAGAGCTATAGCAGAAGATGAGTGTGATAACATCGAGGACACTGCTACTATCTATGACAAGTGACACTTCTTACCTTTCTTGTCTGACTTTACCGTTTCTCATTTCTTGCAGGTTGTTTACCATGTGCTACAGAGATTGTGTCAATATACTGATTGTTCTGATGACAAACCGGCAGATTTAGCATTGCTGACCCGAGTCATTGCTCACCATAAGTCTGGCCCGTTGTTCGCAGGAAGTTGGTCTGTCCATCCTTGTTCAATCTCAGGCCATGCTGACCCAAGTCATTGCTCACCATAAGTCTGTCAATCCTTGTTCATTCTCAGGCCATGCTGACCCAAGTCATTGCCCATCATTCACAGGAAGTTGGTCTGTCAATCCTTGTTCGATCTCAGGCCATGCTGACCCGAGTCATTGCTCACCATAAGTCTGTCAATCCTTTTTCATTCTCAGGCCATGCTGACCCAAGTTGTTGCCCATCATATGCAGGGAGTTGGTCTGTCAATCCTTGTTCGATCTTGGGCCATGCTGACCCAAGTCATTGCTCGCCATTCCTAGGAAGTGAGTCTGTTGATCCTTGTTCGTTTTCGGGCCATGCTGACCCAAGTCTTTGCCCACCATAAGTCTGTTGATCCTCATACATTTTCGGGCCATGCTGACCCAAGTCTTTGCCCACTGTAAGTCTGTCAAACCTTGTTCAATTTCGGGCCACACTGACCCAAGTCTTTGCCCACCATAAGTCTGTCGATCCTCATTTGATTTTGGGCCACGCTGACCCAAGTCTTTGCCCACCGTAAGTCTGTCGATATTCTTCGCGCATATGTTTAATATTCAGTGACAGTGGTTCCAGAACTTTGAGTTCATATCTCTATCAAGGTACAAACATCTACTGTATTCCCTCCCAGCCCGAATGTGCAGCTTCTTCAACTTTGACCTCAACATGACAAGACAAATCCTAATTCCCGCCACCATGACCCATCAATCTCCGCAAGTAACATCTCCAGTTGGACCTCCAAGTTGTATTGCTCCCTTCCTCTCCTCTCCAAATTTCTCCATCTCTCAAAACTCCCTGCCATGTTTCAACAGGTCTTTCGATGTGTTGCACTGATGTGTGCTGCTCTCACATTCTGCATGCACAAGCCGGACTACCATACAACTAGATATATATGTTAGTTTTTGAACCAATGTTATCATAGTCACTCACTTTGTCCTGTGGCCTCATTAATATTAGTAATGTGATTGTAAATGTAGAGTGCATGTTGTGATTTGGTGTGATCAACAATCGGCATCTGAGTTCTCAATTGTAAATCTATTTTTGGCTTATAATTTAAAAATATATATTTGAGTTGGCTTTAAGCCTTTAAATTGACTTAGCTATAACTCTCGAGCTGAGCCGAACCATAATTACAAAAGCTGTAACTCTTTGAGATTCACGTAGAAGCTTAGTTATTTGGCCAGAAATTTCAGATAAATTTCGACTATGAAGGACAAAGTTCTAAGCTACAAGAGCATGATGGAGCTATTTGGGTGAAAGCACGTAGCGCTTCCCGGTCCTGATCTGCATGCCTGTAAGAGATGAGTGAGCTGCGAGGGTGGGAAGGGAAAAACCCTTGCAGGTCCCTGACAAGGATCGGGCGCAGTCCGGACCACTGGAAGGATGCGAGGGGCGGTGCCATTGGTGAATGGTACTGCAAAGAAGGTGTGGAGGGTGGGGAAAAGCAAAGGAGAATGGAGAGAACATCAAGAACGACTATTAGGGAATGACAGTCATGGTACAAGAAGAAGAGTTTGTGCCGCTTCTGTTGTTCTCACAAAGACTAAACTCTGTTCCTTCGCTCATGCCTCATTATGTAACAGAGCTGCAATCTTTGAGATTCATGTAGAAGCTTAGTTATTTGGCCAGAAATTTCAGATAAATTTTGACTACAAAGGACAAAGTTCTAAGCTACAAGAGCACAATGGAGCTATTTGGGCGAAAGTACGTAGTGCTTCCTGGTCCTGATCTGCATGCTTGTAAGAGACGAGTGAGCTGTGAATCCCATATAAGTAGGAGTCCAGCGATGCATAGAGCGAAACTTGAATTCCCAAGGTAGTAGGAGTGGATGAACTAGGTGCTTACATTTCGGAGGGTACCTTTAGCGGACATGTGGCATTGCATATCGTAGATACTTGTCATGGAGAGCAGGTGTAGCTTGGAGGTAGGACGTGAGGATTTGTGCATGCTTGTGAAGGTACAATTGGAAGGCATCACTGGCCCATCGTCCCATGGTCTTGACAACGTCAAAAGGGATGTTGTGGAGAAGGTATTCCAAGGTGGCACCTATTCTGATTCCATGACCCTGTAAAGGGATGAGGCTTGCATCTGTTGCAGCTTGTGCAAGACATGCAATGAATTTTGACTTTGTAAGAACTCAGTGACCTTTCCCGTGCTTGTAGGAGAAGACTTCGTGTGAGGAAGGTGGAAAACAGTTGTTTGTAAGCCATTCTGGTCAGTTTCATGGCAGACGTCTGAGTGGATGATGTGTGTGGACAGGTTGAATCTGTTGATGCTGGGCACCGTGAATTCCCCTGCTTGTGCCATGATGTAGAAGGTGATGGTGAGACAGGCACATACTGCAGCAATAAGAGGGTTGTTAGCATCAAGTTTTCCTAGTAGTGCTTCGATGAAGTCTACTGTGTAGGGCTGTCGTTTCTTCTTCTTGGAAGTGGCAGGGGTGAAGAAGTGGATGGTAGCAAGAAGAGGAAGCAGATGGTGGAGAGCATGTGGTGGGGAGCATGGGTACAGCAGCATTGTAAGTTGGTTTGTGGTAAGTGGGAAGTGGGAGGTAGCAAGGTTTATTTTGGAAGAGTGGAGAGCAAGTAGGAAGCAGGAGAAGGTAGTGGGTAACATGCAGCGGAGCAGGAGCAGGTTGGGTTGGGATAGTTTTGGGTGTGCATGGTGCGAGGAGGTAGTGGGCATGTGCGAGAGGTGGAATGAGACAAAGTATGGATTAGAGTCAATAATTATGTATATGATGGTGGAAGAATGTGTACCATTTTCATTCCCTCATCTCGCTCTTCTTCTCAGACGTCATCCAAAAGGCTGTTGTAGAGAGTGTTATTGAAAAGGCCAATGTCAAATCCCAGATTCAGGGTGAGGCGATCATGCCAGTCTTTTTGGACCATGCTTGCATAGCGGAGGAGAGTTTTCTCTCTCCGTGGGCGTAGCCTGTGCTCATGGTTAGTGATGAGTGTGAAGAATAGCACTAGTGCCATCTGGTGCTTGTTGGGCCAACTGGCTTTCTCAATGTGGACAAGAAAGCTGGTTTTGGCCATGTCAAACTGCCTCCAGGAGAGATCGTGATCCTGTAAGGCTTTGTTAGAGGCTTTGAAGGAAGAAAATGACTTCAGGGCGACAATGCTGTCGATCTTTTTGAGACCTAGAGCATCATCTGCGGAGGATTTGTTCCAGTCTCAAGCTTCATGACAGCCATCTGGGCTGAAGTACCAGAGTTCAATGAATTCCATGTTCTTGACTTTTTGAAGCACAAATTGAGAAGGATATGGGATGATGACATCTGAAACAGGTAGGTCAGCGTTGAAATTGTTGATCTTCAGTTTCTTTTTCTCAGTTTCACGGTGCTTTTCGGCTTCTGTGATTTCTCTTTCTTCTCGCTCACAGTCTGCAGCTTCTTGGAGCACATGTGCATCTTTGTTACGCACTCAAATAGATCTGTTATGCGGAGCCCTAAGAGGGGCGTTGTCCGCTAACGTTCGTGACGTAACCGGAAGGGTCCAGTCTAGCGACTGAGACTGGCGACGTCGAGTCGGCAGATATCAGAGACGCATGTGTCATGTGACTTCTAAGACGGATGTCTTCAAAGTCACTGACGTTCCCAAAGTAAGGACAGTCTTGTCCGAACAATGAGTAGTCAATCGAGGTAGACTTAGGCGCGAAGAGCACCTAAGAAAAGATACTAGAGACTGAAGCTGAGGGGGCTTCAGAGGGAAGTATGTTCAAGGGAAGATTGAGTAGATTCAAGTTAGGGAATCTAGTACAGAGTGACAGACTACTTATACTAAGTGGAAAGGGTTAAGGGCAAGGCTACCATACTGTAGGTAAGGGCAAAGGGGAAACGGAAAGGGTATAGGTACACTGGTAGCAGAGCCTGATTAGTGATGTGAGGTCGAATGCGGAATGAGACCGAGAAACATTGGAACGAGCCAATGGTAAATGATACAATGCACAGCACGCATGAGTCAGAGGAAAGATAAGACAAGATAAGGAAAGCCACATTGGTGGCACGAGTCAGAACGAGTCATAGCCCGAAGGCACATGCGCACATTGGTGCGATAGGAGGGGGATGAGGGACGGGAACGGTCCCGAGGATCCGGTCAACGGATAGTCGGTAGAGAAGTACGAGCCGGAGGCATACGAGGGCGAGGACGAAGGGGAAAAATGATAGGGGGGCCATGTAGCTGATGTTACTTGTAACAATCTTCGTCAATCTGCTGTTGCCAGAGGACAACACATTCCTGGTGTTCTTGAGTCCAGCCATCAACGAGCTGGGTGAGGGCTGCCTCTGCTGTTAACCCAGAGGCTACAAGGGCGGCAGTGCATGCTGCAAAGGTGGGTGACTCGAAATTCAGTTGAACTTCAAGTGCTGGGTCAGAGTTTACTGTAGAGTTATGCACTTAAGTTTGACCTGATATGGGTGTGACCAACTGAACATTAGGTTCGAAAGTTTGAAGGGGTGTGTGACATGTGACATGCTGTGCATAGGTTCATTGTGTGAGACAACCCATTAGGCAGACATATTCCTTTCTTTGTACAAGCGTAGAGATGCCTGTGCTCAACCTGGAGACTCCATCGCTAGCACTCACCCCTTGGAGCTTTGTTTGCAAGTTCAATTCTGTTCAGCAACATCACACCTTCTTCCTATGTTGCTGCAGAGTCCTGTCAATGTGGATCGACCACTGACGGTTTGAAGGAGGTTGATGTTGAGGGTTGCGGCAAGTGTGGACATGTTGCAAATACTCAGTATAAGGACTTTTGGCAGCACTAGGACTTTTTCGTGTTTTTACTGCATGTTTTCATTTTTTTACCGCATGTCACAACTTAAGTTCAATGACCTCAATTTGAGTGTGACTGTCACATGAAATAGGCTCGGTTCGCTCACCCTGTGATGGTGTGACGAACTTAAGTGCATAGCTATACAGTATACGAGGTATTATGATTTCTACCATAGTTGAGATGTGGTATCCAATATATTCAGTTGGAAGGATGAAGGAATTGTGGGTGATTGGTTTACTAGTAGGTGTTTGTGTAAAAGAAAAGCAAAGGAGAATGGAGAGAACGTCGAGAACGACTATTAGGGAATGATAGTCGTGGTACGAGAAGAAGAGTTCATGCCACTTCTGTTGTTCTCACAAAGACTAAACTCTGTTCCTTCGCTCGTGCCTCGTTACGTAACAGAGCCGCAACACGTGTCGGCTCAGCTATTTATAGCTCGGGCCGCGGCTGGAACCGGCAACAAGCCGAAGGCAACACTACTCACGATACACTATCTTAGCCCTCTTTTTCAATGGGCTAGCAACCTTCTGGCAGACCAAGTATGCAGAGCTCGACCTGCAAGAGTGTCACATCAATAGTCGACTTTCTGTACACGAAGGGCAAACGTGTTTGTCATTTTCTTCCTCCGTCTTGAATCACTTGGAGGTGTGCTTCAGCAAGAGAAAAACAGATCCTAAAAAATGCTACTGCATGTAGCTCATGTCTTTACAATAGCACGATCAAGCAGCCATCCTGTTGTTTGGCTCAAGCCCAGTCATCTTCGCAACCGTATGCTGCCTCTACCCGCACCTTCGGTCATCCTTAGTGTTCTCATGCAACAATCAAACACGCTGGACGCCAGACTCGCTTCTGGCTCTTTACGTGGCATACCTCTCATGAGTATACCGACGGCCATCATTTATCTACCCGTCCATGACAACGATATCTCCTGTCACCTGACACCTCATGATGTTGTCTTAAGTACGATGGAAGCATACCGCCGTTTATTGCGTACTTTCCAACCCACGCACTATACTTACCATTTTCCACTGATTTTTCTGTCATACCGTCGGAAGCTCAGGCAGAATTCCCTTACCTATGGTAGCCACGATTTGCCATCGAGCATCGGTAAGCAAACATCTTTCCTCAGCTCGGAGGTGTCCTCATCAGACTTGATCGAAGGATGAAACGTAATGTCGCGGGGTTCCTGCTTTCGGTTCCCGCTTGAAAATGACTACTTATTCGTGCATGATATGTATCTCGTCTCAATATTCAGCCTAGGCGCGCATAATCATCCATCATGGTCGCTTTATATCGTGAAAGTCATGTCAATTACCCTCCACTTGATGGATCTCTGTCTCTCCCTGAATTGGTGGAATTCAATGCGCAAAATAACTCAGACGTCATTTTCTTTGTCTACGAAAAACCTGACAGCAATGATTTGGTCTCCATCTCACACTCAGACTTCCATCGAGCTTGTCATCGGGCCGCCCAGGCGATTAGGCCAGACTGTGCAGGTGTAGATAAAGAAGTGGTTGCCCTCATCGGGATCTCCGACACCCTTCTTTACCAGACAATATTCATGGGTATCATCTTCGCTGGGCTAATTGTATGTACATACATTTTTTGAATGAGCGGATTTCTGATCACTGCTATTTCAAGCCATTCCCCATGTCCCCTCGTAATTCGGCAGCGGCAGTCACGAACATGATGCAGAAAACAAGATGCTGTCGTTTAATCACGACTCAACACTCTCTTGCTTCCTTGATCGATGGAGTCAAAGCGGGTTTTGTGTCTCACGACACTCAAACGAGCCCGCTGCAGATCGACGAGATCCCGGCGTTGAAACACCTGTACCCCGCGCTCGCTGGTGGTACTCCAGACGAGAACATTATCCCGCATTCCCTAGGTTTGCCGTGGTCTAAATATGAGGTATTATTCTACCTGCACTCCTCTGGCAGCACTGGCTTCCCCAAACCCATTCCAATAAGTAACTTGACTGCCATCCATTGGTGCATAACGCGTGAGTCAGTACATAATCTGCACAGTGAACAATACTAAGATGGGGCGGCGTTAGCGTGTGTTCTCGACCACATCGATGTTCCCGCGCCTATCCGCGTCGGTAGTGCGTCCTTGCCATCATTTCATACCCTTGGTATATATATTCAGCTGCTCGTCCCCATCGCCACCTTGAGCAGTGTGTCTATTTACCCACCTACATCCCTCCTCGATCCCTTGGCGGCCCCTGTAGTACCCAACTCGCAAAACATCTTGAGTTCTGTACTCAAGACGAAATCGAACGCTTTGGTAGTCGTGCCTGCCTTTCTGGCACAATGGGCATTTTCCCCGAGTGCTGTCGATGTTCTGAAGACCCTCGAATATGTTGTAAGTTTGTTGTTGATGTTGTGAGAGGAAGTGACTCGTGCTGATACCAATGCAGGCCTATGCTGGCGGTCCTCTCGCACCTAAGATGGGAAATGCCCTGGTGCACGCAGGGGTCAAGCTTTCCTGCGTTTACGGCGCTACAGAATTTGGTATCAACACTTATTTCTTCCGAAATTCGGTCGAGCAAAAGCTTTGGGAGTGGGTGCGATTTGGACCAAATTCCAAGATCAGGTGGGCTCTACAGGACGATGATACTTATGAATGTCAAGTTTTGGTGCGTCTCTGAGTTGATCTTTGAACACCCCTTCGGCGTTGAACGCTTTCTCACAGACCGTCCCGACGCATCAAGTGTCAGTAGAGAATCTTCCAGACGTCAAGGGTTATACTACTTCGGATGTATTCATCAAGCACCCGACCATAGAGAGCTTGTGGAAAATGTACGACTGAAATTCACGCCATTGATGTACTCTAACATTTTTCCTACAGCGTAGGAAGGCTCGATGACGTTTTGGTACTCTCTTCTGGGGAGAAGACTGTACCAGCTCCTATGGAAAGCATCATCTCCGCCAACCCCCACGTAAATGGCACCGTTATATTCGGCCGTGGACGCAATCAAGTTGGGATCCTCATAGAGCCACGAGCAGGGTGTGAGATTGACGTTGACGACGAAAAAGATCTTGCTGAGTTTAGGAACCGAGTGTGGTAAGTCCCCTACAAGATCAAATGTTGTTGTTGAGTCTGAAGATGTTCTTGAAGGCCTCACATAGAAGAAGCAAATAACGAGGCTCCTGCATTCAGCAGGATCTTCAAAGAGATGATTCTTGTGACACGCAGTGAGAAGCCCATGCTTCGAGCTGGAAAAGGGACCGTTACCAAGAAAGCAACCATCAAGCTGTATGAGGAGGAGATTAATGCCATGTGAGCATAGTATACATCCGTCACTTTGTCAACTAGACTTCACGGGCAACAGATATGAGACGGTGGAGGGCAGCGCCAGAGCAGGTATCGATGTACCTTTACCCACAAGCTGGACTGTGGAAGACGTCGAGGCATGGCTCAAGGTCCACGCTACTGCTGTGAACGCTGAAAAGGCAGTCGATCCTGATGTAGACCTTTTTGCTCAGGGCTTTGATAGGTGGGTTGAAAAAGAGTCAAGGCTAACGTTCTGCTTACTTCGTAAATCCAGTCTCTCCGCGACATTCCTCAAAAACCGCATTATCGGCTCTCTCAGCTCGTCTTCAGATCGCAACGTTCAGGTATCAGCATCGCGGATTGACCAGAACATCATATTTTCAAATCCTTCGATTCACCAGCTCGCGAGAAGCGTCATCAATGCAGTATTGCAACAGAATGGTACAGGTGCCGTCGACGCCAAGGCTGATATCGAGAACATGATCGAGAGGTATTCAGTCGGATTAGGTAACTCTGTCGCAGAGACCAACACCGCTCTAGTTAATGGGTGTAACCAACGCAATCATGTGGTTGCCCTGACCGGGTCTACGGGTGGTCTTGGCTCATACCTGCTTGCAGATCTCCTCCAGCGTGAGGACGTGTCTGCGATATATGCATTCAATCGCCCGTCAAAGGGGGCATCTATACAACAACGACAGGAGAATTCGTTCAAAGATCGCGGTTTAGATTTCACCCTGCTTCAGTCAGGCAAACTAATGTATGTAGAAACTGATACATCCGATGATCACCTAGGTTTGGATAAGGAGTTATATCAGAAGGTTTGCTTCATTCAAATTCCAGTATTACCGAATTAACTTAAAACAACGTAGATCTGCACGTCTGTCACTATCATTATTCACAACGCTTGGCGACTCGACTTTAACCTGGCACTCTCGTCATTCGATTCTCATATACGTGGAACGCGGAATCTTATAGACTTGGCACTGTCTTCTCCACATCATCCAAAGCCGCGTTTCATGTTCACATCGTCTATCTCATCTGCTCAAAGTTGGGATAGAGCAAAAGGACCATTTCCTGAAGAAGTACAATACGACGCAGGGGTTGCAACAGGTCCTGGCTATGGTGCGAGCAAGTATGTTTCGGAAAGGGTAAGTCACTAGCTACTTCGAGGGAGCATGGACTCTACCAATACTGTTCCCAACAAGGTTCTCGTCAACAGCAAGTTACCAGCATCATCATTCAGAATTGGACAAATATCAGGAGGACCCCCGCGAGGAGCTTGGTCCACGACAAACTGGCTACCGATCATCGTCGAATCAAGTGTAAGTTTAGGCACGCTTCCGGAAGCCAAAGGAGTAAGTCCATCACTGTCGAAAAAATTTATCCATGACATGCGCGGTTTAGTTTGTGTCTTGGATCCCTCCACACGCCGTATCAAATGCTATCCTTGATGTGGCTTTCGCGGCAGAAGAACCTCCCATCGCGGTGAATCTGGTGCATCCGAGACCGGTCGCGTGGAGAACGTTGATACAACCCGTTGCGGACGCCTTGGTTGAGCGTAAAGTAACAAATTACCCGCTACCACTTGTGCCATTCTCGGAGTGGCACGATAAGCTCGAATCGAGTGCCAAGGATTTGAGCAAAGAGACCATGAAGCGCATCGTACGTTTATCTCGATAGCTGCCCAGAACATTTTCCTATCTACTCTTCAATTGCAGCCTGCTATCAAGCTTCTCGACTTCATGCGTTTCATGGCTCGATCAGACATCGCGACCAGGGCGTCTGGAGAGATGAGCTCCGAAGCAGGTGGCGTGGCTTCTTTCGCTACCGCCGTAGCCGAACGCGTCAGTCCAACAATGAAGGAGCTGAAGTCGCTGTCTTCAGCGGACGCAGCACAATGGGTGGATTATTGGGTGGCGATGGAGATGTTTCAATGAGCGGTCGGAACATGCTTGTGGTTGGAGCTGTTGAGTTATTTTTTCAGAAATGTTGATGAGATGCGACTTCTGACTTCCCAGGTTTGGCCTGTTTGTTCAACCAGCTGATCGTATCGAAAACTCGAGGATAATAAAAGAGGCAATCACAGGAACACACAAGGAAATAGATATACACAGCAGTTGACTATGTACGGGTGGGGACTAAGCCATCAGTGCAGTCGTACCAACATGCTGCGTAGCACAACAAATTATAACCATCATCTCCTTACGGGATCAACAAGCCTCCGAGCAAAAGCATCGCGGCACTGATAATGAGTTACCTCTCCCCTGAAAAATGTGGACGTCAGAAGATATCGTTAGAGACCGATATTAGATTCACCTAGGAACATGAACTGCGATGACGCTGCTACCCAGACGCTTATGGCATTGGGGACAGCTTTGCGCAAATAATCAGACAACATCCACACGAAAAGAAAATTGGAAATACATTCTACTATCTGTGACTCTGACGCGCCTAGACTCCAGCAGCATCAGCTTCCTGGCAACTTGTTCATTCCGCGCTTTGTGAATATTGCGGATGACGTGACTGTCAAAAATCGGTGCTCGTAAAGCTTCTTGAAGGAATGGGCGCACGTCGCGAGCGGTGACGAGGGGAGGAAGAAGTTGAAGAGTTTCAACAGAGTCTAAGCGAGGACTATGTCGACTGATTAAGTCTAAGGCGGGCTGTAACAAATTTGGCGCTGCTTTATCAGTGGGACGGAGGTATAGCCTGAGAAGAGTCAAGAAGATGCTTCTGGTGGCTCCGTTTGGATTATATATTCGCTTGCAGTATCTATAACAGGGTCAACAAGAGATCAAGATTATAGCTGAGAAAAAAAGACATACTCTTCAGCCTTGGCATAATTCTTGAGCTTGTAAACATAGAGCTCCAAAGCATGTTCGTGTCTTCCCATGCGGCCCAGCAACACAGCTCGCGCTTCGTAAAGATCTACAAGATGTAAGAATCAATATCCACGGTGAGTGTTATTCCGTAACTGACTCTCCGGCAGTGAACCATACAAGCGATCGGGGCGGTAGTGATCAGTGGTGTCAATAAAACGAAGGAGTTTAGAGTAAACCTCCAACTCATTTGCTAGCGGAATTTGGTCAGAAAAGTTATCTGCCGGTAAAAATAGCCACTAACCCTCATCCCCTCGTTTGCGAGCACTCAAAGTCATATTCAGATAGAGCTCTGCAAGCCGATCATGGAATACAGCACTCTCTTCGCCTTTCTCATCGATCAGATACTCGATGTAACGAGTAGATATGGAAGGGTCGATGTTCTCGAGGTAATCTGTTACTTGAGTTCGAGGGAGTTCAACATCATCAGATGTAAATATCTTGAATGAGACAGGTAATTGTCAGCAACGAACCGGACAGAAATATATACAAATATCACCTCGAAAGCCATATGACGATCCTCTTCAAAGATCCAGCGGGAGGACTCAAATACTTGATTGATGTACTCAGGACCAAGTTTTCGCAGGTAGGATATGGACGGATCAAGCTTGTCTCTCATATCCGTTTCCTTCTCACTTAACCTGGGCAAGGTCATTGGTCCGCAAGCGCAAATGAGTGAATCACATAGATACTCACTGGTGGAGGAGATTGAGAGCCTTAGCATGCATCTTCTTTCCATTATAAAGGTATATAAGTTCTGCAAATTTCTGGTAACGTTGGTAAATGCTACGTTTGAGTACATGCGCGCATTCAACGTACCTCTCGTGCCCGGAGCTCCTCCTCGACCTCTGATACTTCACACCAATTGGCCAATCGACACAGTGCACCGAGGAGGGCCGGCTGAGTCACGAGATAAGACTTGAAGAGCGCTGTGTCCACAATCTGCGCAAACCGCACAAGCTGCTCTGGAGTCAACAGAGGCAAAGGGATGTTCGGCAGTGAAAACAATTCTTCAATCGACGTCTCGGAGAGGAAAGGCCACTGGTGAGACTGAGCTGGTGCAATGTGTAGTACTGCGAGTGCGCCTGCAACTTTCGGACGACGATCGGTAAGATATCGCCATAAAGCATCCACCGACCGGCTGAAGTCATCTGGAAAATTTGTCAACGCGATGAGTCAACAAAGATAAAACGTCTGACTGACCTACTTGCTTTACCTTCTTCTTCCCGCTGATAGATAGGGTATCATCGTCTTTGTCTTTCGAGGAGGATAAAAGTGCCACAAATGCAGTTCCCCGGCGAACGGCAGCCTTGACTGGCATCGCAGGGGACGCTGACTGCTCCACAAGTTTTTCTTTGCTTTCATTACTATCATTTTGAGACTTTGTTGATATAGTGTCATCGTTCTTTGGCGTGAATGACTGCTGGTTTGTAGGTCCCCCGAACAGTGATATCCAGTCATCTGGAGGAACAGAAAGACGTCCGGCGATGCGCTCAGGATAGAGAGCAACGACCTTGGCGGGGTTGAGATCAAGCTCGATGAAAGAATTTATTGCATCGTCAAACTTTCCTAGTCGAAACTGGGACACGGCGTGAAGGGCGCGAATGTGGGTTCGTCGTTGGTCCTTCAAAAGATAGATAGCGTTATGTCTGTTACTCGATGTATAATTGAAAACAAACCTTGTCTGGTAAAAGAGTTTTGTCTAAAGTATCAAGCAATGATAGTGCGTCGGAATAGAGGCAATGCTGGACAAGTTCATCGATCTGGTCTCCCCACGACCTCATCCGAATTTGCCATATCGAGCTGCCCTCGGAAGTAGCTACTGTGCGGTCGCTCGGAGTAGCTACAAGGAAGAGAGGTGCCTTGGCGGCAGGAGAAGACGTCAAGAGTCTAATTGTGCAAGTGGCGGCAGAGGACGCTGATGATGTGGGTGGGAAGGGAAGGGTTTGGACGGATTGCGCTGTCAGTGACGATATGACTTGCACAACTGGTGAAGGGGTGAGGGCTGACTGAGGGGCAACTGGAGCACCCCCAGATGGAAGAGAAGTACCACCGTTCTCTGGTACCGGGACGGTACCAGGAGGAAGTATTGAGAAGATGTATGGGTTGACAAAAGCTAGATAAGACCGTCAGAAAACTTGGAAGGACTTGGCATATTGAGATGCTGACCAACTTCATCGGGTGGACTTGGCCAATCAATCGTCGTCGGCTTGGTCTGCCTCCCATCAGTGCCGATGATAAACCCCTGATCTGCCGGAAGCTTCAGCTGTCCATTGTATCGAATATAAAACTCGTATCATACTGTCTTTGACAATGAGTGCCTCGGTATCGCTCAACCGCACCAACCCAGGTTTGGCTCTGACTCCCAGACCAAGGGTCATGTACCCAGTAAGCCCAGAAAACGTGCCCATGGAGATATTCGCGGGTATAGGTGTGACAACGTCAAGTGTCGTGAGCTTGCTGATAGAGAACAGAGCATACTCGGTAGGTGAGTACGCAAAGCAAACATTATCGCTATCAAGAAACACTGCAACACGCGGCGAGTGAGGGAGAATAGTTTCCTGCGTAGTGACTTAGATGGGTCTACAAGTGCGGAAACGTCGTACCTTGATTTCCTGTCCTTCACCGTCTTTCCACGTGTATATCACTACTTTCCTTCGGCACCCGACTAAAAGCTGCGTCACCATCGTAGGAATCGGACCTGTCCTGCCGACAGTATGAGCTCCACTTTGGGCATCACTTTGAGCAAGGTTGTGCACGGAAGAGTGAACAGCGAATGTCAATGCACCCTTAGCTCTTGTAAGAGGTTTCGGAGGAGCAAAGCTTGGGAGAGGATACAGAGTTGGTATAGTTTCTGAGGAAGGACATGCTAAATTTACGATATTTGACAGAGATGGCTACGTCATTGATCGTACCGGAGAGGGAAACCAGAGAATTGATATCCTTGATATAGCCCAGCTGGTCAATAGGTCTACGAGACAGACCCTTCTTAGTGTCCACCAAAGTTGATGCATTCTCTTGGTATTGAGATAAGTATATCGGCGTTAACGGCATCCAACAGTGGCATACCGGAGAATTCGTTGTACTCGTAGATGAAGAGACTGCCTGTTGCTGTTCCAATATACAACTTGTCACCTGAATATACGGCAATTGAGCATGCTACGCCTGTAAACATACCCGAGAGAACTTGCCCTGGACGAGTAAAGCCTCTGGTCTTTCTTTGAATCCGCTGAGAACTGTGTTCGGCGGGTTGAACGGCGCCATGAGTCGGAATGATCACTGGCACTGCGGTCGTGAATGGAGGGGAGGGATATTATTGAATCACACTAATTTCCTTAAACGTTGTTTTCGCTAAAGTGTGAGTTTATGTAAAGTGGCGTATCAATGTTACTTGAGAAATCTTGTTCAAGTTAAAGCAGACTTCAAATATTCAAAGAGCTCGTTTGCAATCCGCTTTCACAACGATGTTGCCGTTTACTTAGACACATCTTACTGCCAGTGGGGTGCGCCAGGACCAGCCTGTCACCTGTCTGTTGTCTACATAACGAAATCAACTTGTGACTTGCTCTCCGTATTAAGGGTTACATATAGTATCAGCATGATCCAAAACTCACGAGATTGGAACGGACTGCATGGGAAACCCAAGGTCAGATCTCTATCTATCAAGGATCGACCACTACATTGAACACGGCGCAGGACTACCGACTACGAGCCTGAATTTTGAACTCCTGCCACTGCGCCAGGACCCTTGGCATTCCAGAGGACCTGCGCCAGACCATCCCACTACGACCTTCCACCAGCAGAGTATGATGCTGTTCAGACCGCCCGCTTTAATCTCTCCAGGACCATGTCTGAAGGAAAATAATCCTCCATCCTGCGAATCATTTTCTCCACGGTGTTCAAGTAGTAATCCAAATCTGAAATTAGTTCTTCCTGAGAACATGGCGGAGGAAATTTCTCTCGAAAAGCCTGCTCAAATGCGGCGTCGGCCTGTTCTGCAGTCAAGCTAAAGACTGTTAGCCTCTGTCACGGAGACCATGGAAAGACTTACGTCACAAGAAACTGTTTCTGTTCTTCTTCACGTTCCTCTTCCCATTGGGTGACGTCCAGTATGAACTCCTTGCATGCTTGATATGCCTCTTCCATAATCTGTTTCTCACTGTCAGAAAGTCCGTGTTGAAACAATAGCTTAGACGGTATATCATGGCCTGGAAAGCATCCTGGAAAATAGTCGTTTAGGCGTTCTGCGAGCATGCACGACTCTGGTGCCGTCACAAGATAGTGAACATGCTATCTGGAATGAAGCTAAAACGAGGTCGACCTTGAATCCTGAGAAACGCACCAATAGACACAGATTCTTAGTGGTCAAGATATAATACAGCCTGTCATGTTCATCGTTCGTAACATAATCTTGGAGTTTCTTTAGCTCTCTTTCCGTGAGTAGTGTCTTGTCTGAATCAGAACTAGGTTCCTTCACATAGTACTCCTGCCACGATAACGCAACAGAAGACGCATCGACCGCATATTTGCGGAAAGTGTCGACCATGGCTAGGCAGTCAAGTAAATCTGGGATCTGCCCCAGGATAAAATAAGGGCGCAGCATGTTCCGTGTCGCGTAGAAGGTAAGTGTAGGTGGTGACTGTGCGTCTGTAAGTGCGAGTTCTTTCCCGAGAATCGACGAGATATGGTCTGTATCAGCGAGTGAAGTTTGAACTTTGCGCACCAGAAATAATGAACGCGAAGCACACCATATATCGCTCGGTGGCCTTCGGCATTATATTCACTGCAAATTCCCATCGCGGTGACCATTTGATAAAAATCTTGCATGAGTCGACAGTATATGGTCCATTTACAGGGGCCAGTGATGGGGACTTTAGGTTTAGCTGCACTAAACGTGCCGTGCATTGAGACAGGAATGATTTTAAAGTACTAGAGTATAAACTGGGAAGACGCGTCAAATCAGGTGACTCGTGATTATACCTGTTCGGTCATTGCCGGTGGTTTAGGCTAGTGCAAAATCTTCCGTCGAAAACTATTCATTTTCCTCGTCTGAATCCCCGAACAAACAAGGCCCCCCATACAAATCATCGTCATCTATTCCACTGCATTGTACATCCTGGGGTGAGACTCGATGTGCGAGTGCGGTAGGGACGCAAAATGGCTCGATTTGCATCTCCGACTCTGCCACTGTCAACCTACAACGTGGCTCGTTTGCGAATTTCATGTTTGTGGCAAGGTTGGAGTGATCAGGCGAAGGTTTTTCTTCCGGTTTGGAACCTTCAGAATGTTGAGAATGGTGGCGACAATGGTCGGTAGTTTCCCCCGAGTGCTCTTCTTCCTCATCGTTTACCCTAGCCTTGGGTTGATCTTCACTTTCTGACTTGACAGATCGCAGACTTATCGTCGAATTACGTGGTGTGTTCCATATATATGCTGATCCATCCAAACGATGCCTGACATAGCCGACACCCTCCCGACCGCGAGTAAAAGTGATGTCATCGTTGTCGTGCTGCTCTACGGTCTCGAGATTTAGAATCTTCCCGATAGTCGACCATGGGTCCGGATCGTTTAGGATGTCCAAAGGTAATCCAGGGTCATGTATATCCGAGCCGCCAAAAGAAGAAAATCCCTGCGACGAATTGAAAGAGTGTGATTCCACATGTTTTGTTCGAGTGGCAAGATATGAGTTCTGAACAGATCGACGGTGTCCCGTGTTGAATATCTCAGTGAAGGGTTTCGCAATCGCTTCCGAAATTTGGGTAGCGTGGAACATCTTCCGAGCTTTCTGAGGAGTTGTAGGGGCGTATTGTGTTTCGAAGGATGATGCTGAAAATTGCTTAACATCACTTGTGTGGCAAAGAGACTGTGATATAGGACTGCTGCACTTGATGGAGCTATCCCATCCGAACGACTCAGGAGAATCGTGCGTAACGATGGGTGCAGGGAAACCAATCGGAGAAGTGGAGGAGGATGGCGATCGTTGCGAGAAATATCCGTGGTTAGAACTCCATCCACCATGCAACTGTGAAAGGGAATTCTGCGATGAGGGTGGTGACGTGTCCATGTTGAGAATGTATTCCTCTGTTCCTTGAGAATTAGAAGGGGAAGAAAACGGAAAGCTGTTTGACAGAGGTAAGGGAAATCGTTGCTGACCTTGGAGATCATGAGTAGGCACGGATCCGCGAAGCTTTCCAGTCTCAGCAATATCCGTGTCAGCATAACCTGAATCGTTGACCCAGCTTCCGTGGAAACTATCTGTCTCGACACTCCGTAGTGGACTCTCATAAGTAGTGACCATACGATGGTCCGGTGAAGGAGGCCGCAACATTCGTCCGCTCAAATGATCGTCATAAATTCCCCCATCATTATCGTTATCTATTGGGAACAAATGGCTAGCGCTTCCTGAAGACCGACCAGTGCGAGAGAAGGTGTCACTGAACGTTCCTTGAAACTAGGATATGGTCAGTGTACAATTGGATGCTCACCGTTCTCTCTGATGTTACCTGAACGTCCGACTCGCTGTCAGCATCGATAGGCAGGAGAAGATGTTCCTCGGGATCAATGCAAGGGCCTCCGTCTTCCGAGTCGGAGTGGGACGACTTTCCTTGCAGGGGCAGTTCAATCATTTCTGACAGAGGGATTGATAATATGCGGTCAATTGCATCACGATAGGCCACCGCTGACACGATCAGTGCATGATGTAAGACAGATCGACACATCAGGGTATGTATCACATACGATCAGAAAAATCAAGCATTCGAAGTATCTTCGAAGGTTGTTTGTGGCGCTTTGGGGTGCCAAATGAGATTCCGTCGGCGAATGGTGTGTCGCACGATGTGCTTATACCATGCGCCGTGGAGGGGTAATTGCCTTTGATTTTTGCGTCTCGTTGTGCATGAGCAAGATTGATTTGATGTAAAACAGACTTCAAGGACATCTTTTCAGGCTTTTCCCTTCCTTCCTTCGTGTAGCATAATGCAGCTGCCAACCTCTGTTGACCAAAATGTCGCTTCTGAACCCGACCTGTACTGTCTTTGGTGCGTGCTCGAGCAGCATTCCTACATATACGAAATATAAGTAACCATGATACAATTTAGTGTTTACTAACCTTTTCCCTCCCATGTAGTTAGCGCCTGTCATCTTCAACGTTTGAATATGTGATAAGTCGAGTACAAGAGCCTTTTGGAACAGATTAGTCCTATCGCGTAATGGGCACGTGATTTTTAGTAAGTACCTGAGCTTAGTACAGTACGATGCGCGGTTGTACTATTTGTATTCCGAATCCATGGGACCTCCCCGTCCTCGCGGTCACGGTGGGGTCCCATTTTGCTGGCTAACTTATCCTTGTCATCTGCGTTGCCGCGGAATTAAGCAAGGACAATTAGTTCATTCACAATGGCAACTACATCAGCAAAAGTGGCGCAAGCTGACAAGGCCTCGGCAAATGCCGTAAGCCTTGCGTAGAGTTCCAAACATGGCTACAGGCCTTACGGGCGTCGTGCCAGGCATTGTAAGGCTCCCAGGTGTCACAAAGTAATGTTATAACCACGTCACTCGCACATGTATGTATGCAAGAATTATCAATACAATAGTAATGTAATATGATATTTCTTCCCTCACACGGCTGAAAGACAAGTCCTTCCAATGCATTCTAATACTCGGCATAGTCACCATAATCCTCTTCGGTATCCGCGGCACCCTCTCCGTCCTCAGCACCAAGAACGGCATCATCTAGTTCATCCTGCGAGCCTTCCTCTTCTGAGCTGTCATCTGATAACAACTGCTCCTCTAGGTTACCATAACCAAACTCACTGCGCTCGTCATCCAACACTGAACCATCCTTGTCATCATCAGCCTCTTCATCCGATTCCTCGTCTCCATCAATCAAATCTGTGTCGAACTCGTAAGTAGCACTCTGTAAGTTCTCTGCTTCTTCAAGCTCATCTTCCGACTCAGACCGGCTTCCTGTACAATCCATATGCTCCTCACTGGAACTGCTGATGCTGCGCATGTCTGCATCTGCCGGTGTGTCTCCACGATCATTGCTGGACTCTGAGTCGATGTCCTCATTCATCGGCGAACCTGGTATGTAAAACATACCGGTGCGCTCGCTTTCCTTCGTAAACGGCACTGAGTCAAGTGCATCTCGGTCCTTGTAGAAGCTTTCTGTCGCCTCTCGTGTGGTCTTATGTCCGACACCACCACCACGGAACCGCATGAACATGTCGTGGTCTACAAATCTAAAAAAAATGTAAGTCAGCCATTTGTTTTGCAAGTAAAAAAAACCACCGACTGGTTGACGTAGTACCAGCTATAATCTGTGTCACCTTCACAAGCCTGTCGAGCGATTGATGGAGGAAGAAGGTTTGCGGTGGACCCATGTGCGAATCCTGGGATCACATGGACACCACGAATCACTTGTGCAGGGTTGACAAATCCAAAAGCATCTGCTCCGACCTCGTTGGCATCATAAAACCCAATCCGGTGCAGCCGACGTGCAGCCCAGCCTGATTTATGATTAGAGTCTCGACAGAACCAGCGCACCCATAGGAAATCGACACGTCGTGAAGCCCGGTCATCAGAATCTGGACCAAGATACCTGGCATATACGTGAAAAATGCCGATAATGCGCGCATACCAATATGGGTGAGGAGTGAGTTCACCAGGTTCACTTTCCTCATTGCCTAGGAGCATGATGTCTGCATGTGTACGTGGATTGAGCGAATCTTGAGCTCTTCGAAGATCGTATGTCGTGTAGTTGACACGGAGTACTTTGTGTTTATAGATCTTATTGTTGAGGATGATGAGTGAGTTCCGCTGCGCAACAGTAAATGTGCGTTCCTCAGAATCATCATTACCAAGAAAACGAGTAAGAATATGGTCCTTGAGCCGCGGTAAAAAATCCTATGCAAAATCAGATAGACCAAAACCCACAGTGACTGATAGTTACCTTCACTGCAAGGTCCTCGTGGTTCCTGTGCAGCCATGAAGTGATGTCCCAGTGTTGGCGGCGTGAGTTGGAGATCTGATACTGGGTCTCCGGAGAACACTGCGGCAATGACTCTGTTTCGGCAAAGCCAACTGAGGGAGAAGAATCTTCTGCATGGTTCAAGCGACCTTCAGCTCGTTGTGCGGCAGCCTTCTGTCGAATCTTGTGAAGGAGTCGTTCCCGGCGCTGCTGTTTTGCGATACCCCGTGCAATTTTGATCTTGTTAGTGCGTGCATAAAAGCGTTTCACACGGCGATGCTCCAGTTCACCCTGCAATCAAAACTAGAACCATGAATCAAGAGCGGAGATGTGTGTATTAGCGCACCACTTGTGTCGAAAAATTGTCAGTTGTCCCAAACAACCAGATTGACTTCACATAGTCACCAAGCGCATGCAACTTGTAGGTAGACATGTTGAAATATCGTTGTCGAGTGCCCTCAGTGGTTCTCTTGTTACCTTTGTTTGTCGGCATGGCTTTTGACTTCCCCTTGGCCGAATATGCAGGTTTTCGGCGCCCCCGAGCAGCAGCTTCTTTGGGTAGCTCTTGTGTTATGAACGAATCGCATGTAGACTGCTTGAAGCGGCGGAGAGCTCGTCCTAGCCTGGTAGTCGAATTGTCGAGGAAATTGAGTGTTGTTTCGGTGTGCATCCGAAGCTTTCCAAGTGCATGCCAGGTCGCAAGCTCAAAAAGTAAGTCGAGAATGACGTCGTCATGATCAGGTAGCAAGCCCTCCATTACTGGAATACAACACTATATATGAATCGAGTCATTAGACAGCTAACAGTATACTAAAGGGTGGACAGACCTGCAACAAGTCTTCATAATCTCTCGCAGCGAGTTTGGCGAGATTTGATACATTCCGACTGAACTTTCGAATAGTGTCCCTCCCGAACGTTGGCACACAGCGAAATCTTCAAAATATTAGTCTTTGGATGCATTAGATCACAGAACTCACCTAGCATCGAACCGTGTAATAGTATCTCCACCAAACGCATGCAGAATCCGTAGTAGATGGGTGAGAGTCCCTTTCCAAACACCGAGTTCAAATTCGTGCATAAAGTCGGGCACGAACATCGAATGAAAGTCAAATCCAAACCTAGATAGTCGTTCAGAAAATGCATTCTTTGATTCTATCAGTCAAAGTTATCTTAATGAAGTTTGAAACTTACACGTGTCGGTACCAGTGACATTGGCCCAAGCAACTTGTCGATCACAGTGCTGCCAATGTTGCGTCCTTTTGTAAAGATCCAATCACGCACTCTCTCGATGGTACTCCTGCGTGCGTGATTATCCAATCGCACGTCCCTTTTACGCCACAGTCTATCCAGCTTCGTCCCAAGGTCAGCAATCTTCTCCTTAGGAATGAGGCAGCGCGGACAGGGAAATTTTCCCAGAAATTTGATGCATGCGAGAAGAATCCTGTCAGCGTTTGATTAGTTTCATGGCATAGTAGTGCAGGCAGAGTACTTACTTTTCAGGATAGTCAGCGGCATATGTAAAAAATCGAGGAAATACTCTGCGCTTCACATTATCAGCAAACCGCACCACAATACCATGTTCATATGCGTGCATGAATTCTTCGTCAAGGAGAAACAGCCAAATGGCTTGCATAAGTTCTCGCTTGAGATGTGTGAGCACTGCGCTCGTCGCTGCTTGCCCATACAATTTATGGTAATATTCATGGACGATGTCTGGTAACTTGAAGGCAAGTCAGCAAACTTTGCAAACTCGATCAAGAAACAAATGCAAACCTTTGGGATATACGCCAGATGATGAGCAGCGAATGCAGAGGGACAATTCCTGATATACTTTGACTGATTTCCGATGAACATGTAGATTGGCCATAGCGCAGCATGTCCAAATGAAGCAAGGTGCGTCGAGTCTGACCAAAGCATGATGGAAGCGACGACAGTCTCCAGCTGACAACCAGGCTCACGGGGCTGCGCCTTTATCTTCTCATGCTCATCAAGCATAGCATTGGCTGTGTAGACCTCTGTAATGATACGTTCTGGAAATTCACCCTCGTCAGGCTGCCAGAAGAGTTTGTACGGGACATTGTGAAATGATTTCGAAGCGACTTCCTCGTAGGCTGACCTGATAACCTCTAGAGGCTTGCGGTAATAGAGTCCATCCACGGCACAGTCAGGTGCATCAGCTTCAGATGTGTACCTGTGTTTCTCAGCAGGCAGCTTGATATTGACAGACGCCTCGTGCCACTTGTCAGAGGTGCTAAACAGCTTTGAATCAGGGTCCTCGTCGGCCTGGTCCATTCTTTTTGCCTCCCGAAACGCAGAGAAATCCCTGAGGTCCTCACGCTCAAAGTCATCCGCCAATATGACTCCCTGCACAAGGCGGTCAACATTAGCCAGAGAGTTACCACTGGATGACTCGTAAAACCAGTTCATGAGACGAAACGTGGTAGCATTGAGAAAAGGTGCAAAAAATGTGCAATTGACTGCTTCAATAGCAGTACCAAAGCCTGCATACCAAGGCCGCTTGTTTGAACTGTCGGCCTGTTGGAAAGTACGAGAGTCACATACATCATCAAACGATGAAGTGTTCTCGGGGTCGTAGGAAGGGAAAGTTCCTCAGTATGAACGGAAGGTGCCAAAAGCATCCTGTTCGGTGTGTACCCACACTTCTCCTTCTGATTCGGTAATACCTGAGTCAGAATGAACAGGAGATTGTGGAACGGCGTGGGCTACATCATCTACTGGAGGTGGAATCAGAACGGGGATGGGAAGGGCAGGAAGTTCATCTCGGTAACGTGAAGGTAGTTGTCGCCTGCGATTCGGAAGACCTGATGCTCGTGCCAGTGGTGGGGGCGAGGGCGAATGATGTACTGGCAATTCCTAGACAGCAGCATGAATACCCTGTATCAGTCTGACAAAAGAAACATTCACTTACATATGGCTCAGGATTCTCAAACTCTGGCTGGTTCGTCTCGTTGAGTGAGGGCTCATCGACTAAGGGAGCTTCTGACTGAGCATGTGGAGCAGGAGGGGGCTGTGGGGCTTGGCGCTCGCGACGGGCATTCATGACATTGTTTGAGGCGTCTCTAAGGCCTTTGCACCATTGGTTCTGGTGTGTTGACAGACCGCGTGCTGATTTGGCAGTATAATTGCAAGCAGGGCATACAAACGACATGACGAGGATGAAAGTGAGTAACGCAAGGATGGTACACTTTGCAGGCATCGCCTGCGTGTATCTGCCTGAGTCACTGCAGGCATGCACTGCGATGGGGAGGCAAGGAGTCAGAACAAAGGACACATTTTATATGAAATCGGACCTGCCACCTGATGAAAACCTGCCTGCAAAACTCTACGCTCCCAAAGAGCATCCTGGCAGTGCTGCGCACCATATGGTG